CATATCTGGAGGTGGTGCTTCTGCGCACGCGCAAAGCGCACAGAGTGATTCAGTGCGCAGTGAAACCTGGAAGTATACACTTCCAGGTTTGCCGCATTCATAACTCAAAATTACGTTACCCATAGGTAACATATCCGAGGTACCACTGTATATTTATTTTGGGTAGAGAGGAGTAGTTAGGGGTAAGTGTAGGGTTAGGGCAGTAGTTAGGCTTAGGCTTAGGCTAAGTGCTGGGGGGGGTCAGAGTTAGGCTTTGGTGGGCATTTTAGATAGTTAGCTAGTTTAGAGAGGGGGTGGAATTTTCCGTGAACAAAATGTGCAGACTGTAAGTAGCATTCCTTTGCTTTCTCTTGGTCTCCTGGGGGCGGGGTGTGAGTCTTGGGGTCCCCTGCACAGCCTTGGCTCTCTGGAAATCAACCTGGCCAGTCTTCTCCAGAGAGCTCAGCTCCTCCACACTCTTTCCCTGCCTTCCCCTTTTCTTTCCCCTCTCATCATTTACATTTACTAGGACATTCCTAGCCCACTTTCCTCCCAGGAGCTCAAGGTGGCCTTCATGGTTCTCCCAGCCACCAATTGTATCTTCACAGCAGCCCTGCCAAGTAGGCTAGGCTGGCCCAAGGTCCACCAGGGAGCTTCATGGCTGAGTGGGGATTCGAACCCTGCTCTCCCAGGTCCTCCTAATCCAGCCCTCCAACTACACCTCTGCCTGGCTCCATTTTGCATCTCTCCAGCTGCCCTACGACCTCAGCCTTCTCCCCCTTCCTGGGGGTCTCTCTGGCTCCAAGGAAGACTCCACCACCTTCCTCATGTTCTGCTCCTCTTCTGGGACACCTTGATGCTTGGAGGACCCTCCTAGGGGCCTCCTCCCTCTCTAGGAAGGGCAGGGCTGTCCTAAGAAGATGAGGCAGAGCAGCCCTTAAACAGCTGGCAATGCTTCTCTTTCCTTTGGGCTGGAGCTCTTGAACCCATGGCACTTGGGGCCTCCTTTCTCTCTCTGCCAGCCCTTTGTGGTCTGGGCTGCCTCTTTCCTAGTGATGCCCTTTCAGGTCACTGAACTGCAGAGAGATGGAAGGAATTGGGCCATATGGCCCTCCTCACCCACAAACATCCCCCAAGAATTGGGGCTGCCAGCTTCTGAGTCGCTCTCTTGTCTCGTCTCTTCTAGGTTCAGGTGCTTAAGACGCAGCAACAGGGTGGCCCCCCCTGTAAGGCCCAGAGCAGTCCATGGCATCAGGTGAGCAAGTGGTCTCCTTTTTGGGACAGAGGAGGGCAAGAATGGGCTGGGGGGGCAGCTAGTCAAAAGATGTACAGAGCCAGATGGCTGGACCGACCCACAGTCCATCTGGGCCAGCATCTGGAAACCCAACCCCCCAGCGACCACCCCATTTTGTGGTGTCCGATGGAGGAAGCAGGGTGCTGGGCTGCGGGGCAAGGTGGGGGAGGGGGCAGTTGTCAGTGGGAGGGGCACCTTCCCTGGGGAGCCATGTTCTGGGGAGAAGGCCAGGATTGGCCCCTAAAGCCTGGGGTATCCCTCCCCTGTAGTAGGACTTGGAACACAGGAGAAAACTCTTAGAATAGCCTTGCCAGTGGCTCAGGGATGAACTCACCTGTCCCCATCCTCTTTGCGGATGTGCTGGGGTTCCACATCCCTTCCCTAGGGGTGAGTATAGGATAAAACGAGAGCAGGGAGTGGATCCCTCAGACCTGCCCCCCACTGCACTCTCAGATGCGGAGGAGGCCCCCCCCCCCCCGGAACTGACAGCCTGACTTTTGCATTTCACCTGCTGGAAGAAGATCAGCTATACCTCCAGAAGTGCCAGGCAGCTTGGCTCAGGGGCTCTGAACCCTGAAGAGCTCCAAGCATTTTTTGCTGCTAAATCACTCTCAGGTTGACTCATGTTCAGCTTGTGGTCCACTAAGACCCCTAGATCCTTTTCCCATGTACTACTAGCAAACCAGGTATCCCTCATCTTATATTGGTGCAGAACCTTAGATTAATCCCTACTGAATTTCTTTTTGCTTTTGGTCATTTATGATTAAGTTATTACAAAAAAAAAAGGAATTAGGAGTCGTATTCATAAAAGGAATTAAGGCAATTTATACAGATCAAACTGCAAACCTGATTGTAAATAATGTCATTACAGGAAAAATGTAAGATACAGAAAGGGACAAGGCAAGGTTCCCCCCTATCACTGCTTCTTCTTCTTTATAAAAAAATATTTTTATTAACCAATTTCCACAAAACAATTTACCAATCCTCTTAATCAGTTGCATTATTTCCCCCCCTTTCCCCTCCCCCCCACCAAGGACTTCCCTCAGCTCCCCTCCCTGATTTCTTTACATATATTGTTTTCTGCATGTTGTAAAATTGTACATATACTTACTTTATCTATCACATGTTCAGCTAATAAATTTGTGAATGTTTATTCAAAACTTGCCAAAGAGTCCAATTCATTTTGTTGTATTTTTATATAGTTTGTAAAAAGTTCTCATTCTTCCTTGAAGTCACAGTTGTCCTTATCACACAGTTTGGATGTCAATTTGGCCAATTCCGCATAGCTCATCAAATTTTCTGCCACAGTTCTTTTGATGGTATTTCCTCACTCTTCCATCGTTGTGCTAACAAGACTCCGGCTGCTGTTGTAGCATACATATATAAGTTCTTTACTTTTCTTAGCAAGTCTTGTCCTACAATCCCTAACAAAAATGCTTCTGGTGTTTTTTTTTTACAAATGTTAATTTAAACATTTTTTTCAATTCATTATATATCATTTCCCAAGTTTTTTTTTTTAACTTCCCTACATTCCCACCACATATGATAAAAAGTCCCTTCTTTTTCTTTACATTTCCAACATGTGATTGACCCAGTTTTATACATCTGTACTGGTGTTATATACCATCTATACATCATTTTAAATGTACCGGTAATTTTATTTCAAAAGAGAACAGTCTGTAAATTTTTAAATCTATTTTCCACAGTTTTCCCAGTCCTCAAATTGTACATTATGTCCTATATCTTGTGCCCATTTGATCATGACTGATTTGATCTCATCTTTTGTCTCCCATTCTAGCAAGATACTATATGCTTTCTTCAGCATTTTCACTTCTTCTTCTTCTATAACTTCCTTTTGAAATGTAGAAGTTGTGTAACTAAACCCTTTCTTGTTGTCTTCCTTGTACATCTCATGTAATTGTCTGTAGTGTAACCAACTTTGAAAATGATATATTTCCTCATAATCTTTTAATTTCCATTTTCTTTCTTGGTCTTTCAGCAAATCTTTATATGTAGGCCACTTCCCCTTTGTGCCAAGTGGTTTGAGTAACGAAGCTTCAATTGGTGATAACCACCAAGGTGTTTTTTGTTCTATTAAATCTTTGTATCTCTCCCACACCCTCATTAGTGATCTCCTGATTATATGGCTGTAAAATCCTTTGTGCACTTTCCCTTTCCCATACCATAAGTATGCATGCCATCCAAATCTATTATCATGACCTTCCAAATCTAATGTTTCTTCCTATTCGAGTTTTATCCAGTCCCTAATCCACACCAAACATGCAGCCTCATAATACAGTTTGAGGTCTGGGCGGGCAAAACTGCCTCTTTCTTTTATATCTGTAAGTATCTTATGTTTAATCCTTGGCCTTTTGCCCCCCCCCCGACAAACTTAGAAATATCCTTCTGCCATCTTTTGAGGCAATCATCTGTTACCATTACTGGGCCCCCTATCACTGCTTCAATCATGTATCAGTCCTAGAGGTGTTGATGCGGAGGATAAGAAATAATTCTGACATAAAGGGGATATGGATGGGCCAACGGAATTATAAGGTAAAAGCCTTTGCAAGTGATGTGGTGTTTTCTGTAGAAGAACCATTGACAAGTGTACCTAAGTAACTGGAGGAAATAAGGAAATATGGATGCAGCTGGCGCAGAAGGTGGTGCTGTGTGTTGAACCACAGAGCCTAGGATTTGCCAATCAGAAGGTTCGAATCCCCGTGACGGGGTGAGCTCCCGTTCCTCGGTCCCTGCTCCTGCCAACCTAGCAGTTCAAAAGCACATCAAAGTGCAAGTAGATAAATAGGTACCGCTCCAGTGGGAAGGTAAATGCTGTTTCCGTGCGCTGCTCTGGTTCGCCAGAAGCGGCTTAGTCATGCTGGCCACATGACCCGGAAGCTGTACGCCGGCTCCCTCGGCCAGTAAAGCGAGATGAGCGCCGCAAGCCCAGAGTCGGCTGCGACTGGACCTAATGGTCAGGGGTCCCTTTACCTTTTAGGAAATATGGAGAAGTTGCAGGTCTTAAAACAAATAAAACTAAAACTAAGGTTTTAGTGAAAAATATGGATGCACAGGCAAAAAAAGATTGGCAGACGGCCAGTGGGCTGACAACTGAGAAAAAGGTGAAGTATCTGGAAATATGGTTAAGAGTGAAAAACTCCAATATATTTCAAAATAATTATGTAAAGACATGGAAAGATGTAAGAAAAAATATTGAGTTATAGGGAAGAATGAAACTCTCTCTAATGGGGAGAGTTTTGATTATCGAAATGAATATTTTGCCTAAAATGCTATTTTTATTTCAAATGGCTCCAATAGTAGGCATAACAAGTTGCTTCAAAGAATGGCAAAAATATATTTCTAGGTTTGTCTGGCAGGGAAGAAACCGAGAATTAAATATAAAATTTTCATAGATATAAAATAGAGGTGGGTTTTCCTTGCTAGATGTCGGGCTGCCTGATGAGGGGCTTGTCTCCCCTTCTCCCCCACACTGCGCTGCAGTGAACCAGGCCGGAGTCCCGCTGGCCAAGGCGAGGAGAGACTCCCCAGCCTCCCCGCCAAGATCCCCGCGGCGTCCAAGCGGCTTCAGCTCCCGAGGCAAGGGCGCGAGGCGGCGGGCGTCTCCTCTCCGGCGGGCGGCCTCCCCATTGTCGGGCCGGCCGCTGCCTGCGCGAGCTGGCAAGCAGCCCGAGGGAAGGGCGCGCGACGGAGGCCCGCCCCGGAGCCGGGCGGGGTCCGCGGAGCAGGGCGGCGAGGTCCCGCCTGAGTCACTCGCCGATGGTGCCCGGCCCAGCGCGCCCGTAGCAGCAGCAGCAGCAGCAGCAGGTAGGGCGCGGCGCCCCCCCGCTTCGCCTTCCTCGCGTCTTTCCCTCGGGCGGCTTCCCCCTCGCCGCTCCCCGCCGAGCGCCCTTCGGCCGGCCGTGGCCGGATTCGGCGGCTGCCCGGGCGGGCGGGCGAGGCCTTTCTCCCTGCTGCGTGTCGCCAGGCGGGCGAAGCGCGGAGAGCGAGGGACGCCGAGACCGAGCTGGGGCGCCGGGGGCCAGAGCAGCCGAGGCCCGTCGGAGGGAGCGCGAGAGGGGCTAGGGCTGAAGGCTTGGCAGCGCCAAGGCCGAGCGGGAGCGCCAAGGCCGGGCACGCCGCGCCGGGATGGAGCACGTGTGGCGCGGCGGGTGCTGCGCTCCCTCCCCGCTCCGAGTGCCGCCCGCCCGCTCGCCCCCTCAGCCCCGCGGCCTTGACTTTGGGACACTTGGCGGGGTCGCTTGGCGCTCCTCCCTCGGCCTTGGCGTTCCGGCTAAGGGATGCTCCGGGCGGGCGCTGCTCGGGACGGGAGCCCCGCCAGGCCTCTTTCCTCGGAGCGATACCCGAGTTGCGCGGCCCTCGCCCTCGCGTTTTGCCCTTCTGGAGAAACACGGCGCACCTGCCCGCCTCCAGCCTCCCTCTCCGCCTGCTCTTCCTGCTGAACTGCCTCCCCCATTCCGGGGCGAACATGTGCAGCTGGGAGGAGATCAGGCCTTTGCCTGCATGTAGCTCATTCTGCTTCAAATTTATGTAGTTCTCTTGTGTTACCTTCCCCACCTTCAGCTGCTCCCATTTTTTAAAAGAGGAGACCATTCATATTGTACCTTATTCGGTACCAAAAGTTTAAAATCACTTAAAATGTTTATGTATTTTAAAAAGAAACTTAGTATTTGTAAAATTTCCACTATTATGTATAAAATGTGTATCAAACACCCAGGCGGCCAGCTGGAAATAGGCTTCTGGGGCCCAGGTCTCCTTTTCTGCCTGGAGAGATGGACAAGGGACCAGGTGACACATCCACCTGTCCAGTACCAGGCAAACAGGAGAATTGAATCTGGCATCCACTTCCACATACTTTGAATTTTTGCAGAAACATTTAGGAAAAAATATTTTTATATGTTTCTATAGCATTTAAAATTAGCAGGACTGAAAAATGTGTGTGGGTGTTTGCATATGTACACGTGTGTGTGAAATCTTAATCTGGATATTTTCCCAGTTCAGTTTTTTTTAAAGAAAAATAATAACTGAAAATCACATATTTAGTATTAAATCCATCTGGATGTGCCTGAAATGTATTCTATCTGCAGCCAATTCTACAAGAGCAGGAGGAGGTCAGTCCCCTTCCTCACCACCTGGTGAGTAGTTGGGAAATTACATGCCCTTTCTATAGACTTTGGCAACTGTTCATCTGCAAGGTCAATAAACTGCTTTTGCTTCAAATCACATTGCCCTGCCCTGCCCAACCCCTTAGCAATCAATTGCTTGTAAGTGTTAAGAGCTCTTGCTGAGGCAATGCTGCCTTTGGGGCCTGTCTCACCTCTCTTGGGACAGTGGAGAAAAAAAGCACTTAATTTTCCATAGTTTCTCATGTCGCATTCCCCTCACAATCCCTTTTATTGGATTGCACAGAGCAATCCTAGGAATGTTTACTAGTAAGTCCCATTGAGTTCCATGGAAGTTAATTCTCTGTGAACTGTGTTTAGGATTGCGGACTATTTTTGTTTCCCTGCCTTAGTTCATTCTTACGTAGTTGGTTTTGTGAGTGCCTGACTTTGTTTTGCCCACTTCACTGAAATCACCCCCACTTATGAAACGGTTCTTTGTGCGGAACCTGCCACAATCTCATTTGTTACCAGCTTGCATTTTGTTTCAAGGTGAATTGTTTTAATTGCTGGTGTCGTCTTTAAAAAATATATTTATATCTATTTATTTCCTCTTAAAATCATGGCATGAGGAGTACTGTGTGTAACTCTCCCTTCATGCTCCCCCAACCCCATTCTGTCTTTTCTAGGTAGCACCATGGAGGCGTATGAAGGTTTGACAGATAAAGAGCTTATTGCCCGTTTGAAGAAATACAGCATCCCACACGGGCCTCTTGTTGGTATGGACTCCAGCACTACACCTGTCTCTCTCAGGGGAATGAAATAGCTTTGCAATTGGAGCTTAGAAAGGGAAACCTCAGTAGGCCAGGCCTGCAGCTTACATATAAAGTGTAAACAGGGGAATCTGTTAGAGTGGACAGATGTAAAAGGGAATTGGATTGAGCAGACAAGACCAATAGGGGCTCTGATGGTAAAGAAGGTGGATTCGGCATGTGGTGTCGTGGGAAATGAGGGACAGATGCCAGGGCTTGTCCACCTGGGAAAGTAACCCATCTAGCAGAAGGAAATCTCTGATCCTAAACCTGTGGGACATCTTCAGGAGAAGAAAAGGCTAAAGGATAAATCCTAAACCAATCTGGAGTAGAGTCCCAAAGACGGTTGGATGGCACCTTGTACGCCCTCCTTCTGGCAACTCCTGCAGCCAAGCTGGTGCCAAACATATTGGTCCGCTTTCCTTTGGACTAGGCAGGTTGGCACCCCAGGTTTGCCGGTAACACACCAATTGTCTTCTCCCCACCCCCCTTTTAGGCGCACTCCATTGTCTCTCGAGATAGATGCCAACAAGGGGAGGGTTTTCAGCTTTACGTACTGAAATTCCCTCTTGTATGCTGAATTTGTAAAGATGTAGTAACCCAGTCTTGTCTTGGATCAGGCCACACAGGGCTTTTTTTCAGCTGGAACTTGCCGGAACTCAGTTGCAGCACCTCTCATGTGGGCGCCATTGCCATTATAAGAGAACAAGGTTCCAACACCTTTTTTTCTAGAAAAAAAGCCACCCAAAAGCCTGCCTTCTACATAGCAGAAGGGAACAGTGGGTAAGGGAAGGTGGATCCTTCCTGTCACACACCAGCCTGTCCAGCTCTTTATTCTGAGTATGGCTAGGTTGGAGAGAGAGGTGTCTGGAAGAATGGAGCGTACGATGGGGAGAATTCACCATGTCCTCCTTTTAAAAATCAATAATCACCAGCCTGTGCTTTCAAGGGGACTAAGAAAAGCAGCCACAAAGAACAAATGTGGGAGCCTTTATCTTGCCTGGTTTGTCCCTTAACATTAGAAGATAGAATGGAGGGAGAAGAAAGCTGGGTGTGTGGAAAAGGCTGCAAGGTCAGGTGGGCTTTTGAAGTGGGCAGCTGTTTGAAAGAGGCAGGAGTGAGAGTCTTGTGGGAGCAGTAAACTTTTGTCATCTAGGAGTTAACCTCCAGCTTGGATTCTGTCCTTCAGGATCAACCCGGAAACTTTATGAAAAGAAAGTCTATGAATACGAGACTGAGCGTAGAAAGCGTCCTTCACCTGGAAAAGGATCACTGTCCACAGGTGAGAATAATTGGGGGGAAACAGGGAAAGGTACCCCTTGTCAGACACTTGTCCTAATGCCCCTCCTTCCCATGTGTTTTTACAAACGTAGAGCCATCCACCAGCGAAAGCTACATCCGAGAGACCTTTGTGAGTCCTCAGAGCAGGCCAAACCTCAACTATGGGCGAGAAGGTGAGACGTTTTAGAAATAACTCCTGAATTCCCAGTAAAACAGAAAGCCGGTTTGTAGGGAGGAATTTAGGGACCATTAGAGCATCAATCTAGGAGATGTGGGGAGCAAAAAGGGTAGCTTTGTCAGGGTGGAATATCATCATCACTAAGGGGATCATCTCTTCAGGGGAGATCAGGGCAGCATAGCCTGGGTGTGTTGTCAGTTTTCTAGTACTTTTGGGGAACAAAGGACAACTGCTGCCACCAAACCAAACTCTCCAATTCATTTTGCCCCTCCCAGCTCTTGGCTCTACAAGGACTTACATAACAGAAAACTATGACTCTCCAGGATCCAAGGAATACTATTCTGAGTATATAAATGAAGGTAGGGGTCTCCACTGGTCTCCACATTCAAGTCTTGCTTTCTGGAAATACAGTGATTAAAATTGATAAGCCAAACGGTTTATATTGTCTCAGCTTGGCTTCAGTATCTCATGCGTAGACTAAGATTAGTCATTTATTTCATTTCATAAAATTTATATACTACTTGATTATAAAAAAGCCCCTCAAAGCGAAATCCTATGAAAATTAACTTTAAGCTAGTCTAGGATCTCTTGTCCCAATGATTTGTTGATGGGACAAAGTGCAACTAAGTATCGGTGAATTTAGGTGAGCAGTTTTGATTTTGCAGTGTTCCGACAGTCTGGGTTAGCTGTGACAAGGAAGGCACGCCCTGTAAAAATCAACATTCTGCACCTCAAACAGATTAATCTACAATCCATATAATGTGAGTGCAGAAATACAGTGTGCTGAAGCCTATTCTGCTGCCTGCTGTTGCTGCCTGCCTCCCACTCTCCCCATTAACACTTCCCCACAGCCACAAAGCCTAGAAATCTCATTTTTAACAAAGCCATGAAATCTAATAGGAGAGGAAAACCCTTTTGCTAAATATCTTCCCCCACCGTGTCCTTCCCTAGATTCCAGTCCCACCAGGTCCTACCTGAGTGAAAATTATCGTTTGCCTCGCCATGAAGGACGCTCCACATATGCGACTGAAGGTAGGAAAGACTAGAGAAACCAGCCATGTGGAATCGGAGCTGAAGCATAGGGGTGGGGAACCCTCTTTGCCCTGTCAGGCCAGATCCTTATCTGCCCCCACCTCCCACACGCCAACCATGACAGGTGGGTGGGACAACCCAGCTGTCAGTCACTTAACAGCATTTTGCCATTGGATGACTAAACAGATGGGCAGCTGGCAGAGGAGTGGGATAGCCCAAGTCCCTTGCACAGCACTTCCCAAACATCCAGTAATTGTTGGGTGCTTGGGAAGTGCTGTGCAGGGGCTTTGCTAGTGCTATGGGGCTCACTTTCTGCAGGAGTTGGCTACCCCAGTAGTTTCCAACTTTTTCAGACCCAGGATCCACTTTTACCCATTGCATTTGGGGACCCCTTTCTGATTTTTTTTTTACCATGTATTTATATGGTGCTAATTCTGCTGTTATTGTGGCCCAACTACCAGCTGAAGACCAGAAGGCTCCATCATCTAGTGGGCTTGAACTCAGTCTGTCAGCTGATACTATACTTAGCACTACACTCCATCTCAGGAAGGGGGAGCCTTTTTCAGGCTGCAGGCCACATTCCCTAACCGCCTGCTAGTGGTGGTTAAGGCCAATGCAAAAGTGGGTGCACCCAGCACCTGACACACAGGGTCTCTCACTCCCCAGCAATTAGGCTTGGGGTTTTTTTGTTTTTTTTTAGCTTTTTAATCGCTGGCAGGGAGCAGGGTGACCCTTTTGAAGACTGCCACTTCCCTTTCCAGCTGCAGTTCCCATGAAGATCGCAGAAATCTCTTTGAAGATTCCCCACCTTCATTGCAGCAATTAATCTTGAATCCGGCCTCCACTTGAAGATCTTTTCCCAAGCCTAATTGCTGCATGGAGTTTGACCAAATGGGAGGTTGCAGCACATAGGGAGGATTAATCCTTCCTAGCTGTGATACACCTGTCCTGAACTGTCTGTGTATCATATGGGAATGTATACGTTTGCTTCTAAGGCAAACATCAAGAAACTAAACATCAAGAAAAAGGGACCTGTCACTGCTGATGTGGTGAACTGCACGTTGCTCATCTGAGAGTTGGAGATTTGAAAATACATTTTCTGTGATTGAAATGGGGAGCTTCTAAAAACAGATGGAACCAGGAGGGTCTTCAAATCAGGGAGGTCACACATGATATACAAAAGTTTGCTGATCCTGGTAGGAAGCAGCAAAAGCCTCTTTGGGATCTCAGAATGATAAGAAGAAATGGGATTGCTGGGGATACAGGCAATGCAAGGGAAAACCCCATAAATAGGGATTCTCCTGAGAACCTGGTGAGTTTTAGGGTCTGAATAGGTTAGGGGTAGAGGGTTGCATTAATCCACTTTGGATTTAGGTTTGCTCCAAAGGGAATATTTTTAGTTTCTCTAATTTGGGGGAGTTGCATTTCTTTCATTGTGATATTTGCACATTCTAAATTCAATATGTCTCCATTTTAGTAAATTTATCTCTGGTTTCATAAACCTGTGTGGTCTCGGCTTAATGTAAACCTTGATGCCTATAGCAATAACTTCCGCTTCCTAAGGATGCAACAGAGAGACCCCGGGGAACTTATGGAGACTGTTTGATAAGGAGCAGCCTGGCAAATAATCTCTTATCTGGTGGAATCAAGAACCTCAAATGGGAGAAGGGTGGGTGCAAGCAGAGGGGGTACATTCTCTGTTGTGGCCAGGTCTCCCTTCCCCAAGTAGCACAGCACTCACAAGAGCTGGGATGTGGCTATCACAGCCCCCATGGAAAAATGCTGTTGCACTATTGGCTGGGGAGATCCCCTGGGTCAGCCCTTCACCGTCTCTACTCTTGCCTATTCCATCTAATGGCTTTGTTTTTTGTCTTTGTTTCCCCCAGACTGGGATGCCAAATCTTCTGAGACGTCCACATCTTCCTACCAGAGTTACGTGTCATCGTTGACCAGTGGGGCACGTCCAGAGGCACCAAGTGCCCGCCAACCAGTAGGTTGTTCCTCACCTTTGTGGCAAGAACGAGGAAGCTACCCACGCTGAGCTTACACCCAACTCACCCAGGGAAGGGTCCCTTCATAGCTGCCCTGTGCTGATGGGCACCTGTCTATCTTTTCAGATTGCAGAGCCGTATCCCTACAATTCTAGCCAGAAGGATGTCCCATCTGTGAGGTAAGCAGGGCTAATGCAGAGGCACCTGCAGGAAACAATATTCCAGGCAGAGCTGGTGGTGGAGCGAGATGCTTGGCCCCTTGCCGAGGCAGACGTGGCCCATGCTGGATGGATGCTCAGTCTCAGTATTCCCCCCCCCTTCCTGGGTCTGGCACCACCTTCTAGCCAGGAGATGGCTTTCCTACAGGTTTGGGGCTCAAGCTTATTCTCAGGCTACTAAGGAGCTCTGGAACCTAAATTGGCTCTAGACATAAAACTAGGGGTGGTCACAGGACTGGCTAAATGTGGTGCTACCAGGTGCCTAAAGGTGAGCCTGCTGCCTCAGGCAGAGGATGCCGAGCCCTGTAATTGTCATCATCAGCATGAGAACTGGGAGGGATCTTGGAGGCCATTCAGCCTAATCCCAGGCTCAGTGCAGGATCTGCAATGCCAGAAGCAACTATAGCCATCGCTGGCAGGTGGCCATCTAGCCCCTGGCCACCCCCAGTGAAGGAAAGACCACTGGCTCTCGATGTAGCCCATTCCATGGTTAAACAACACTTTCCATTAGGAAGTTTCTCTTAATGGTTAGACCAAAATCTGCTTGCTTTCCATTTCCACCCATTGGTTCTAATCCTGTCTTCTGGAGCGACTGAGAACTAGTTATATAATGATAATAAAAGTTTAGCATCTGTGTGGTGCTTTCCAGAGTTTCAAAACACTTTGCACATATTTATCTTCTGTATCCCTTACAACTGCTCTGTAAGGTAGCCAGAATGATTGTGGCTGTATCACAGGGGATGGGTGGGGAGAGGGGGAGAGGGCTTGCTTTGTGGCAGACATGAGATTAGAATGAGGGATGTCTAGATTCATTGCTCAGGTGATAGAGCTACTGTGCTGCACCAGTTCTCAGCAGGAAGGACCTTTGCAGAACAATTCACCAGGGTGTTCTCTTGTATGAGCTCCACTGAAACAAACTGGAGCTGGGAAACAGCATTACTGTGCTCTGAAGCGCTTCTTAATTTCACTGAGACTTAATCCATGGATAGTGCCTCATATTAATTAGTGATAAGGAAGTTTTGCTTTTGGCAGTTGCCCAAATCTGTCATTGCACAATGGTTTGCTGAAACACTGTTGTCTGTTTTGTCAATGCCACAGCAGGGCACTACCTAGGAAGAACAGCACTTGCTAATGCTTTCCAGTTCAACCTAGCCCTAGGGTGGTCTCTTGCATTCACTATAGAAGGCTTCCCCACTGGCTGGGTACAAGGAAGGGGAAATGTGTAGTAGGAGCAGAAAGGAGACGTACCCAGACTTGTGGCTAGAATTGCCAGCCACTTACAAATGTGAAAAGAGAGGGGTCATTGGCAAACATGGGGCCATTGCCCTTTGGAAAGTTGACGTATGCGGTGGGTACCATGACAATCTGTATTAGGGAGACTTTAATTTATGCAGTCTTGCATAAATTAGGTCCTGCCAACCTAGCAGTTCGAAAGCACCCCTAAGTGCAAGTAGATAAATAGGGACCGCTTACCAGCGGGAAGGTAAACGGCGTTTCCGTATGCGGCTCTGGCTCGCCAGATGCAGCTTGTCACGCTGGCCACATGACCCGGAAGTGTCTTCGGACAGTGCCGGCTCCCGGCCTCTTGAGCGAGATGAGCGCGCAACCCTAGAGTCGGACACGACTGGCCCGTATGGGCAGGGGTACCTTTACCTTTAATTTATGCAGGGTGGGTGGGGCTCATGCTAAGCCCTAGTGGAAGGTGGCAGGAATGATCTCTCTCTACTCTGGAATTGCCTTTTCAGGGACAGCAGTTCCTACCAAAGCATCTTCTACCGGAAATCACCTGGCTTGTCCACTCTGGGGGTGGAGCCACGCCGTGCCATCCATCCCGAGCGCCAGACCCAAGCAGCAGAAGGGGCCACGGGGACAAAACGTTACCTGCCCCTGTGGCCCCAGCTCTTCCTCTTTGTGTTGCTGGCTGGCTTCTTGGCCTTCATCTACTTTTTCCTTCAGGGCGGTGCTGACGACAACCCTTTTGTGAAGTTTCTTCAGCAGTGAGGCCTCGGCTATGGGGGCACATTGTACACCTAGGCCGTCTCCTCAAAAAGAGCCTGGGATATCTCTCTCAGGCTGTCACTAAGTGCCTTCTTGTTCGTAACCCCCAAGTGGAGGGCAGAATAGAGGGGCTGAAAGATGGAGGTATCCTATCAACCTCCCCAAATCATGGCAGCTCCCCACCTCCCTTGTCAAACTTCAGCTAGCTTAATCTGGAGTATTTTTAATCTGCTATTTTTGTACTTGTGCTTTATTAATCGGGCATGGGTGGCTGTTTCACATGAGCGGGAAAGAGAAATGAGGGGATATATGTAGCTTATCAATAGCATTTTCTTTAAACATGTGTGCAAACATGAAATATCCAATAAACCCCACGAAGGGTTTTGTTTTTGTATTTTTAAAGATTGTGTCTTTCATTTTTCTCTCTATGTGGACAATCACTAATTCACCTTTTCCATTGTCACTGCTGCTGCTTATTCCCCCCTTTCCTCAGATGAAGTAGCAGGTCACTCTCTAAAACTGCAGGTAACAAGAAGCAAGACTTTCTGTTTTAGAGGGCTTTTATTTTCTGACTGACAAGTGGGGTGGAGAAGTGGGATCCAGATCAGAGCAACCCCTTGCCTTGCCCCCTTCCCTTTTAGGTTATTCCAGCTCTTGGGTGCAGTATAGGCCCAACCACTTAGGACAAAGGCTGCTGTGGTGTTGCCTCTCCAGCTCTAGAGCAGAAGGGAGCCATAATGTGTCTGGTCATATTAGTGACAAGTGGGGTGGGAGGCAGGAAGCTCATGTATTGGCAAGGGGAGCTGAGGAGAGACTGGAGCCCTTTAGGGAACCCTGAAGCTGTGGGGCTGGAGGCTTGGAGACCACAGATGAGCGTGTGGCTGAGATCCTGAAGGGCTGCCGATTAGTGAGATGAGGGCGCAGGAAGGGGCTGGATATTGGGGGAGGGGCTGCACGCAGAGGAGGGGGATCTCGTGGATAGTGTGTCCTTCGTAGGTTTTCCCGGACCTGGATGAACTCTGGTTGATTCCCAACCGTATCACCTGTTTCTTCCTGTTGCTGGTTCTGTAGACAAAAAACAAACAAACAGCTGTTTCTCTGAGGTGCTTCTGAGTGAACCACAGAGAAGACACACACCATGGCAGCTGCTGGCAAGTGGCCTTTCAGGAGAGGCAGGGAGCCACATCCAGACAGCCACAGTCCCGCTCTCTGGGTGTTACCTGTTCCCGCCTTTGCTGCCAGCGCAGCAGCTCTTGCTCCAGGGACGGCTGCTCCAGGCCACTTTCCACCCCGTCCCGGCGCCGGTTCCGGTGCTCCAGCACCTGCAGCAGCTCTGGCTTAGAACGAAGGCTCAGGCCTCTGAGAGGAGGGAAGTCAAAACAAGACAGCCGTAATTTGCCCCTTCCCACCCTCAGCAGCTCATTCCCTGGTGTCTGTGGCAACCACCCGCCAACCTACTTTGCCTTCACTGAGCCAAGTAACAAATTCAGGGCTTAAGCCAGTGCTACTGAATTAAGAGGGTGTAAGACAACTTCAACCGTCTAAGGATCCCTGTAATGCTAACAGGGTTGTGTGTTAATGTTCCTAATCTACTCTCCACAACATTGGCCTGGAGTTGTTGCATTACTCTGGGCAACTCAGTAAGTTACAAAGTACAAGTGTAGCCCACACAGTTCTGGTGGGAAAGCCAAAGCAGGAACAGTTTGGCATAGTAAAACTACAGTATTTTATTTACAAACTGACTGTTCTCCCATTATTAATGGTGTCAACACCTTCAGAAGCAGCCCAGCTCCCTTTGCCGAAAGGCAGAGAGTAAAAAGGATTGTAGATTTTCAGCTGCTTAGGCACTGATATATATAAAATACATTGGGCTTTTGTCTCAATGAAACTACAATTTCCAGCTTTCTTTGAAGAAAGTCCAAAGGATAGTGTGATTTTTGTGCTTAAACCCTTGCCTGGTAGCCACAGGCAACAAGGCATCTCATTACAAGCGAACAAGTAGATTTGAGTTTGCCCTTCAGTACACACACAGAGATTTTGGGGGGAATGTGGTGCGTTGGAATTCTTAGAAACAAACACTATCATGTGAGCACTCCTGCAACCTAAATATACTAAATATCCAATTTGGACTCTCTTCTCTTTAAGTCTTTCTGATCATGGGATCTCACCCAGTAGTTCCTTAAACTTACTAAAAGCACCCTTTTTAAAGTCCAGAGTGCATGTCCAACTATGCTCTGGACTTTAAGGAGGCTGATTTCAAAAATGGGAGTTTCTTAAAGGTGAAATAATGAAGACACAATGGCAGATAAGTCTAACAATGAAGAAAAGTGAGAGGCACCTAAAGAAACCCGTGTGCCTGCTTAAGGAGCTTAGAGGTGAGCTGAGGTTTAAGAAGGGCATGTACAGAAATGGAAGGAAGGGGAAATCACAAAGGCAGCTGCAGGGAGTAGGACAGGCAGGCCAAACCTCAGAATGAGATCAGGCTTGCAAGAGGTTAAAGATATCAAAAAGGTTTCTTCAGCTATGCTCAAAGCAAGTAGAAGAGCAAGCAAGTCACAGGTCTTCTGCATGGAGAAGTGCTATTGGGAGCAGAGGCATAGCATGGGGGGACCAGGGGGCTGTGGCTCCGGGCACACAATTTTGAGGGGGCACAATCAGGTGCCCCCATGACAGGCATGGAGCCCTGGCAGCTGAGGCTTGGCAGCGGGCAGATTGCTCTAGTGGGCAGAAGAAACATGGTTAGTAAAGATAGATTACCAAGATGACGTCGTTAGTGGAAGCATTGACTTGAGCTCCGCATCAGTTGTGCGGTTTTTATTAGTTTTTATCAGTTTTTATCAGCCTCATTATTTTATCTACAACATTTGGCAGCTTTTCCTTAACTAATATACTGTATTCACAAAGCTTGAGTTAAAAGCTCAAGTTAAAAGTCTTAGAGAAATTCCTGGAAAGTCTCAGAGAAAGCCTTAATTAGCTCCAGCTCGACTCAATCTACTAACTACTTATCAGCAGGAGTGGAGATTAATTGCTCTATTTTGGGAGGACACCGAGCTTTCTGATTTACAGCAGAAATTAGTAGTGGCTGCATCTCCAGGAAAATGACTAGGAGAAAGAAGCGACCAGTTTCAACTCCACAAGTGAGCCCACAGCAGAAGTGCAAGCAGATAAACTGAATGATTTCGTAAGAGTATAGAATTCAGAACCTGCCACATCCAACAGAGCACATTCCCAGGTAGGTGGGGACACTTTAATGGGTGGAGATCACCCAGGGGAGAATGCTGAGACGAGCGCCCATGAACTATCCCATGAACTACTATCAGAGGGGGCACCGCTCTGTGCAGAAATACTCGTGGACCACTGTCTGCTGACTGCCAGAACAGTGGAGAAAAGCAACAGCAAATTAGAAAAGGCAACGTCTCTTTTGACTGAGTTGGTCTTCTGGCGACCAGCAATAGCTCCCTCAATTCTAAAGACTCCCCACAGACACAGGATGATTCGCTGGCATTGATTCCATCTTTGTAATGGGTAGAGCATTTTAAGGCGGTTTTCTTTGATGACTGTATTCCACCTGATATAGTCAAGACCATACCACTTTTACTTTTGGGGATGAGTGGCCCCCTGTCTCCATCACTGAAGTTATAACTTTAATTGACCAGATGAAAGCAGGAAAGGCTGCCGGCCCTGACGCTATTCCATCTGAATTGATCAAAGCCAAGCCAGAGTGGTGGGCTCCGATACTAGAGGAACTATTCACTATGATAGATAGATCTGGTATCATACCTAACTCATGGTAGCAATCTATAATTATCCCAATCTTTAAAAAGGGTGACAAAAAGCTGCCATCCAATTATCGGCCAATAAGTCTACTGTCAAACATCAGGAAATTGTATGCTAAACATCTGTTAAATAAACTAACTACTTGGCTTGATGAGAATAACATCATAGGTCCAGAGCAGGCAGGGTTCAGGTCAGGGAAATCTACTTTACACAACTGTTTGTTGTTATCTCATTTAGCCACTAAATACACGCGGCTTCAAAAAGAATGTCTTTATGTGCCTTCCTTGATATCAAGGCTGCTTTTGACACTGTCGACAGGGGGCTGTTATGGTCCAAATTGGAGACAGTGGGCCTAGAACCTAGATTACTTTACTTGATTAAAAAGCTTTACAGAAAGAACACCTATCGCATAAGAACAACACCAGGGAATGTAATGACAGATCCTGTCATTATAAATGGAGGAGTAAAGCAGGGCTGTTTACTCGCTCTCTCTCTTTTTAATATTTTTCTTAACGACCTTGCTTCTTTACTAAAACAGATGGATGCCCACAGCCCAAAACTCAATGCATCAAGCATTCCCATCCTTCTATATACTGATGATATGATTTTGCTTCCACGGAAAAGAATTGGCCTAAAACGTTTGTTAAATTCCTGTATTGACTATCTGTCCAGAATGAAATTGTGCATGAACTTTGATAAAAGCAAAATAATGGTTTTTGGGAATTCATGCAAAAGCTATAGCTGGGTGTTTGGTGGGAAACCCATCCAGCAGGTATTCAAATTCAACTACCTGGGAATTACATTCCATCATAGGCGTCTATGGTCCTCGCACTGTGCAATGGCGGTGAATGCCAGTAAGATGTCTATGCAAGCCATCATGCCTTTCTTTATAACAAGAGGTAATTCGCATATCCCCTCTGCCCTCAAGGTCTCCAATGCCAAAGTTATAGCTCAATTGCTCTATGGAATTCCAGTCTGGCTGCCAGGGTTTACCCAGCTGGTAGAACAAGTGCAGGCAGCTTTCCTTTTTAACATTTTTGCTGTCCCACGTTGTGTACCCTATGCAGCCTTGTGTCTAGAGAGAGGTCAACCATAGCCTGGGCGAGATTTCTTACATGCTGGTTAAACACCTGCCTCACAACAGATAAAGATCCTCTCCTTACTGAAGTTTTGCTAGATTCCTTTCTTTCCCCGGGGCTACAACGGTTTAACATAAAGGTACAGCAACTTGGGTTGTCAGTGGAATTTTTGCAATTGATGTCCCCACCATCTGCCAAGGCTATAATAAAAACTAGGTTGTGGGGCAATGAATGCCAGGAACTAACAGCAGCAGCAGCAGCAGCAGAGAAAACATGTTCCCCTCTTAACTTTCAGCTTTCTTGGGCATATGAAATTAACCACAATTATCTTGAATTTTTGCTTAATCCTCAAGAAAGAAGGGCATTTTTGCTGGCCAGGTTTAATACAAATCCTTCAAACCTCCTATGGGAAGGTTCTCGGGAATGGTGGAAGGAGAAAGAATTTACCCATGTGAAGACCATCAGGTGGAAACTCTTACACATATGGTTCTTAAATGTAAGCTATATGTTGATCTCTGCCAGCAGTTCCTAGATCAACTCTGCATCCCCAGGTGGAAACCAGAGTTAGAGGTCATACATTTTCTATTATTGGGGAATAATCAGGAGCTCACCAAGTTAGTGGCTAAATATCTTTATCTGTTTTTTTGTCATCATAACACATTGCTGATGTCTGATCTCCCTGGAGACCTAGAGATGTAATGTTAGCCTGCTTTGCCTCTTTCATTTGACTAATGTTTTGTGTCACTGGGAAGGTGGGAATTCTAGATTGATTTGCTATGGATGTTTGTATGTGATGCCAATAAAAGGTTTAATGATGATGATGATGATAGTTGATAAATCACTTTGATAAATTATAGGGGAAATCAAGGGGAATAAAAAATATGGGGACAGAATAATGAGATTTTGGCTGATTAACATTCTATCATTTTTAAAATGTGTTTGTTGTTGTTATTTGTTTTTATTTTATCATGTATTTTGTATTCTCATTTTGTATTTTTATATATGAACCACCCTTAGATCTTGCGATGAAGGGTGGTATACAAATTTAATCAGTACTCTTTTTTTAGAAAAGAAATTATGAAAACAACACAAAAATGCATTGCATATATTATGAGAAAGTGCATGCAAAAATGTGTACATTAGGCAAAATTGAATATAAAAGTTGTTTATTAAGATAAAATCACACTAAAATGTTGAAGGAATTTTCATGAGGATTTTTTTTGTTTTATTTTACTTGAAAATTTCTGAAGACATGTGGATGACTGAACGTAAGGTTAGAAAAATGCGAGACCAGAAATGGACAGATTCCTCCATCTCCCTCACTGCCTGCCCCCAATTGCTTTGAGGAGGAATTTCCCCATTATCAGAGTTGGCTTGAGGGAGTGGTGGGCTTTGCTCCCCTCGCCCACATGCTCTTTCTGTGGGCAGAGCTGAGCCACCACCCCCACCCCTGCAAAACTGCCCTGTCCTCGCCCCAGAAGTAGGCCAGTGAGCGTGGCAAGGAAAAGCAGCTCCTGGGTGACGCTCGGCTTGGCTGGAGGCCAGCAGAGGAAGGAAAGGCGACACCTGCCAGCCTCTTGGGCTGGGGATGCGAATCAGGTTACAAAGAGAATCCTGAGCAGAAGGATGGCGATCACTCAGGTAGGTGGGTGGAAGAGGATAGTGCCACAGTTTTCTCCAGCTTGGCAGTGGGCATGAATTGTGCAGCAAGAGTGGGGCAGCACATTCAGAGCTGGCATTATTATCAGGGACAGGGTGGTGCGGGGACTAGAATGTCAGTCTAAGACACGGGAGGCCACAATCCGCACCACGGCATGAAGCTCACTGGGTGACCTTGTGCCCGTCCCTGTCTCTCGCCCTAACCTGCCTCACAGGATCGTTATGAGGATAAAACGGGGGGCGGGAAAGCCATGTATGCTACCTTGAGCTTCTTGGAGGAAAGGTGGAATATTAAAGTAATAAACAAAAATTATTATCAATTGGAGCTCTCTCTCTGTGTAGACACAATATTTTATCTGTGTCCGTTCCCACTTATTTCTCTCACATAAACACATTCATGAGCGAATGTGAGAGGAATTATGTAGATGTATGTATATAATTATTTACTCACATTTACACTATTCACACATAGGGTAACAATTAACAAATATTTCCGCAATACTGTTGATTCCTGCCTCTGCTAAATCTCTTCCCATCCTTCCAGAATTACTTACGCACACAAAGAAAAAGGCAAAAATGTAAAAGCAAATAGAAGAACCAGAACCTAGTAATGGAGGTGCATGTGAGCATCAGTAAGACAGCAGGGAAAATAAACATTAGACTCTCCATAACTCTTTGGTTACTGAGTCAGGCTGCAATTCTATACCCACTTATCAGAGAGAAAAGCCCCTTTGAACTCAATGGGGCTTAACTTCTGGATAGATTGGTATAGGATTTTGCTTTTAAACTAGTATCATTATTAAAAAATAATAATCCAGATACCCTAAAATATAATTGGGGGGGGGGGAAATCAGCTCTTTTTAACAATCACAAGCACAGCCCACATTCCATGCAGCCATCCATTAATTGCTAGAAGGAGTAAAAGAGTTTTCCCTGGCATTAGAATCCTAAAAGTGGAGTTGGAAGGGACCTTGAGGCTCATCTAGTCCAGCCCCATGGAATGCAGGAATCTTTTGCCCAGTGTGGGGCTCAAACCCACAACCCTGAGATTTAAAGTCTCATCCTCTACCAACATGCTTGAGTGGAACCTGTTCTGCTGTGTTACTGAGTAGCTCAAGAGGACCCTCAAAAAGTGGGCAAATATTTGGAAAAACTGAGGACTGTGGTCCATCATACTAAGGCCCTGTTCCCACCCTCCGCCCCGCCCCCAATTCTGCCACATAAAGAAAACAGCCTGCTTCTAGGGTGTTACGCCTCCAACATAATTTAAATAAAGTCCACTTAGATATTGTCTATTGCTACAATAAACCACCCACCACTTCTCCTTTAACTTTACATGGTGGGAGAGAAGCTGTCACCTAAATAACAAATATGCAAATATGCTTGGTACGGACTAACACAGCACCAACTTCGTTAGGGCCATTACCCCATGAGCTGCAAGCCCAAAACTGGGTACACTCTCCTCATTCCTAGAAAAATACAATTTTTTATGTTTCTCTCTCAAAATGGGAAACATGAATATGCACAAACTGTTACAGCAGTTTCACATAAGGCAAGGAGGTGAAGAATCATTGTTTGAGTTAATACCTCAACACATTTCTCTCACGGATAGATAAACTAGGGTGATAGTTGTGAAGCTTCAGAATACTTTTTCTCACAAGTTTACAGATACATAGGAAATATTATTCTGGCTGAAGGCCAGCACTTCAGCCCAGAATAAACTAGGAAAGTTTTATTATATGTGTATAACTCTGCTTGCAGAATGCCATCCAAATTGACTTTTATTTATTTTTAAAGTCGTGAAATGGCATAGAGAAACGGGAGTGTTGCCCATCGCTAACAAAGCCACAGGTGTTCCTGACACCTCCACAAAGTGGGTCTAGATGGCAAAAACCATTGCAGTAGGCAGACCAGCAGTGGAGGCAGGGAAGGGAGCAATTTTCTGAGCAAGAAGATACTACTGCATTTGGAGTGCTGGAAAATGGATTTCCTTGATAAAGGATTTCTGGCTTCCTCTCAACAAGCTATACATTTAACATTGCAAGAAAGAAACACAGTCACCTGGAGAGGCCTTAAGAGGGATTGGAACAAAGCTGAAAGAAGCCAGAGGTGTGGGTTGTTCTGCCCAGCAACCAGCACAGACCCACTGGAAAGACACGCAAGAAACCCGAAAGAGCGAGAGCAGGCCGGGAGCTTCTAGCCATACTTGCGATGGGTGAACAATAGCTCTCGATGCAGCTGCTGCTGGTTCCGAGGGCCTTTGGCAGGGCTTGTGGCCCGCGAAGAGGCGGCAGGCTGGCCCTCAGCACCCTTGGCTGGGCTTTCTGAACGTGCAGCAGCTGGAAGGAGCAGAGGAGAAGAAGAAGAAGAAGAGGATTAATGCCTCGCGGGTGGAGGGGGGGGGCCGGCTGCAACTCCGGCTGGAACATAGCTGTCAACCTTCCCTTTTTTGCGGGAAATTCCCTTATTCCAGCGCCGTTTCCCGCTGCTTCCCAGATTGTTAGATATCCCGTAGACTGTCCCCGGGACAGGGGAGGCTGCTGATCCCTTCTTTTCAAATCCGAAAGTTGACAGCTATGTTCTGGAAAGGGGCTTCTTCCCCCGCCTGCTCAGGTCCCCTGCTGTCCAGGTGAAATCTGTCAGGTCCCCTGCTGTCCAGGTGAAATCCTAAGGAGGGAGAGGAAATGGGGCTCGGTGCACAGGAGCTGGAGAAGAAACGGCGTGAGGCAGGATTAGGGCAACTTTGCCCCATCCTCAAATTCCTTTCCCAGTCTTCAGCCACGTTGGTTTTAGATTAGGGCTTGTCAATTCAATTCACTATTTTTAGGTGATTAATCCTCTGTCCTTTCCCCGACCACTCTCTCAACTGTGGTGTCTTTTTGAACAGTTAGAAAGGACGGGCGTGCTGCTTCTTGCATTTCCTATGTTCACCAAGTAGCAGACCTGGAGGCGGGTGATGGCGGCTTGTTCCTCCCAGGAGAGTTGAAGAGAGTGTGAAATGAAAGGAACAGGCCCTTCCTACTTTCACTTCTGCTCCTGAGTTTTTCCATTTCCCCCCGAGGAAGCCCCACCAACTTCAGGGAGCTCAGGATGCGCGGCTTCCGCGCGGAGCTGCTCTCTCCCAGCCCAGGATCCCGCCGCCCTCACCTGCTGCCTCCAGGCGCCGGATCCAGTTGCCCGCCGTGTCCCGCTGCCAGGTCACGCCGCCGACCCCTCGCCGCTCCCCGGCTCCCCTTGCCCCCTCCCCGGCCCGGAGGCCGCGTGGCCCAGCCGCCGCCATCCTCCCGCGGCCAGTGCGCCGCTCGCTCCCCGGCCGGCCGCTCTGCCCTGCCTCCGCCCGCGCGCGCCCGCGGGGAAACGGGATCTCGCGCTCCAGGCCGGGGCCGGAGCAGGCTCGCCCCATTCAGGGTCGGGGCAGAGCTGGAGGGGCATCGGGCGCCACCCGGGGCGAGAGAGCCAGGCAGCCGGCCAAGCAACCCCACCCGCCGCCCCAGCGCGCCTCTCCGCCCGGCGCTGCTCCGGCGCCCCGTCCTCCAGCCCGGCAGGCAGCAGCTTGGCGCGGAGACCTCGGCCCGGGCGAGCAGAAGGAGCTCGAAGGACTACCAGACTTTGAGACAAAAGAAAGGAGACTGGGAAACCAATGGAAACCAAGAACTAATAAAATGAGTTTCAGTAAGCAAAAGTGTAAGGTTCTAGAATTAGTCAGGAAGAAGCAGCTGAACCAATATAATATGAGGGACACCTGGCTTGCCTGAAGTACATGTGAAAAGGATCCAGGGGTCTTGGTGGACCACAAACTGAACATGAGGCAACAGTGTGATGCAGCAGCAAAAAAGCTAATGCTATTCTAGGCTGCATCAACAGAAGTCTAGTGTCCAGATCAAGGGAAGTCATAGTCCCACTAGGATTCTGTTCTGTCTTGCTCAGAACACACCTGGAATCCTGTGTCCAATTCTGGGCAACACAATTTAAGGAGGATATTGACAAGCTGGAGTGTGTGCAGAGGAGGGCAACCAAGATGATCAAGAATCTGGAAACCAAGCCTTATGAGAAATGGTTGAAGGAGCTGGGTATGTTTAGCATGGAAAAGAGGAGATATGATAGCCAATTTCCAATACAGTGGTACCTCGGGTTAAGAATTCGTTCTGGAGGTCTGTTCTTAACCTGAAACTGTTCTTAACCTGAGGTACCACTTTAGCTAATGAGGCCTCCCGCTGCTGCCATGCTGCCACCGCACAATTTCTGTTCTCATCCTGAAGCAAAGTTCTTAACTCGAGGTACTATTTCTGGGCTAGCAGAGTCTGTAACCAGAGGTACCACTGTATCTCAAGGGCTGTCACATGGAAGATGGAGCAAGCTTGATTTCTCTTGCTCTGGAGAAAGGACTTAGAATCATAGAGTTGGAAGAGACCACAAGGGCCATCAAGTCCAACCCCCTGCCAAGCAGGAAACACCATCAGAGCACTCCTGACATATGGTTGTCAAGCCTCTGCTTAAAGACCTCCAAAGAAGGAGACTCCACCACACTCCTTGGCAGCAAATTCCACTGTCGAACAGCTCTTACTGTCAGGAAGTTCTTCCGAATGTTTAGGTGGAATCTTCTTTCTTGTAGTTTGGATCCATTGCTCCGTGTCCGCTTCTCTGGAGCAGCAGAAAACAACCTTTCTCCCTCCTCTATGTGACATCCTTTTATATATTTGAACATGGCTATCATATCACCCCTTAACCTCCTCTTCTCCAGGCTAAACATGCCCAGCTCCCTTTGCCATTCCTCATAAGGCATCGTTTCCAGGCCTTTGACCATTTTGGTTGCCCTCCTCTGGACACGTTCCAGTTTGTCAGTGTCCTTCTTGAACTGTGGTGCCCAGAACTGGACACAGTACTCCAGGTGAGGTCTGACCAGAGCAGAATACAGTGGCACTATTACTTCCCTTGATCTAGATGCTATATGATCTAGATGACTTGAACCAATGGATTCAAGTTACAAGAAAGGAGATTCCGACTAAGCACCAGGAAGAACTTTGGGGCAGTAAGAGCTGTTCAACAGTGGAATGGACTCCCTTGGGAGCTGCTGGACTCTTCTTTTAAGCAGAGGTTGGATGGCCACCTGTCATGTATGATTTAGTTGATTTCTGCATTGCAGGGGGTGGGACTAGATGGCCCTTATAACTCTATGATGCCGAATATCTGTGCTGTGAACTTGTAGCAATACCTCAAAGACTTCAAAAGTCTGTCACCACAAGTACTTCTCTTCATATCATAACAAAAGCTCCTGAATTAATGTTCCTGTTGTTCTTAAGGTTCCCTCTCACACAAGACACCTAATTTTGAAAATTGAAGTTAGCAATTTTTTGGGTGGGTGCAAGTAGTCTTGCCTGGACCACAAAATAGCCTGGCACTGGCAGAGAGACCATGACCTCTCAGAGCCTATTGCAACCAGGAGAAACCATTGTGGGTTTTCAGGGGCAACTTTTAACATTCGCTCCCCAGCTGCAATCTCCAGGGCAGATCAGCCCCTCTCCAAGAATTTGACTTCAAAAAAGCTTTCTATTGGAGCCAGTCCAGGGTCTATGTCAAACCTTCAGCACTGCAGCTAGCCTTAATTTCAGTTGGGGACGGGGGGGGGGGCACTGCAGGTGCCAGGGCAGCCTGTACAACTCAGTTTATTTGTAGGACTTCCTATGCCTCTCAGCATGTAGCCAATACAGAGCAGACTTTATTTTGCAACAAAATATTGGCAGAAATATGAATTCAACCTTTATTCCTGAAGTCTATGGTGCAAGGAATGATAGGGGTGAGAGGAGAGAGGCAGCAAGTTTGTCCAGGGCTCCCAGCAAGAGACACTTGGGGCTCAATAGCTTACAGTGCCTGGCCAAACTTACTCAGGAGCCCATCTGCATTCCATGGGACCTCTTCCTGTGTGTGTGTGTGCAGGATTGCTGCCTGTTTAGCTTCATTGTTTCTTTATGATGTTTCATTATCCATATAAAGAATAATGTTTCATCATTCTTACTGTTGTTTTGGGGAAAATGAGCGCTTACTCCCTTGGCTTTTAGAAGGTAAAGAAAATTATAAAGCACTTTGTTAACTATTCTAGTGACCTGCAGCAGGAGATCCCAGAGCCAAATCAAGCCTCTTAAAGAACAGCACCTCACCCCACCCTGCAAAGCAAGTACTGTAAGTTAAATGGAAGCTCTGGGGCTCTGGGAAAGGATGTAGCAATAGTTCCATTTTAGGAGAATGCAGAGGGAATTTGGACTGTCACCTTCCATTCTCTCCCACAGAACAAATGGCTGAACAAGGCTGTAGCTCTGTGTGCATAAAACAGCTGAAGGTAGCATCGTCTTTCTGTGTGGGCACATGGCACTAAATAACATTCCAGACATCACTCTCCACACAGCTTATTATGTGGCCATGAGGTGGCAGCAAAGTAACACTGGACTGGGGTCAGCAAACTTTTTCAGCAGGGGGCCGGTCCACTGTCCCTCAGACCTTGTGGGGGGCCAGACTATTTTTTCTTTGGGGGGGAGAACAAATTCCTACGCCCACAAATAACCCAGAGATGCATTTTAAATAAAAGAACACATTCTACTCGTGTAAAAACATGCTGATTCCCAGACCATCTGCGGGCCGGATTTAGAAGGCAATTGGGCCGGCTCTGACTCCCAGGCCTTAGTTTGCCTATCCATGCACTGGACTGTGCAATACACAGCTGCTGCCATTAGAAAGTGTGTTTCTAGTCCCTCAAGTTAAATTTTAAGAATGTGTGGGAAATGCTTATTAAGACCAAGGATGTGAACAGCATTTCCTGTCAGTCAGGGGCAGTTTCCGAGTTCTGCATTGACCCTCATATTTAGCAGAAGCAGAAGACGCTAGACAGAGTAAGAAATCTTAATGTACACTTTACTTAATTTACATAGGAAGAGAAAGGAAGATTACTTTGAAAAGGATTTTTTTTAAAGTGAGGAATATACATCCACCCCAAAACCACTCCTCATCACAGGCAAATGGTTCAGAAAAGATGAAACCTGTTAGGACAAAGTAGAAGAGGGAAAGTTTGGGAGCCAAAACACGTGCCCCCCCACCTCTGATCCTGTACCCCCTTTTCTGGCAAATAAACATACCAGGAACAGGTTTCACACCGAACTTTATTAAAGGTACAAAATTTGACTTATGAGCTACAAACACCTACCCTCCCATTAGCACCTCCTGTCTCCCCACCAAGAGACAGGATATTTCCCTCCCAGCCCCTCCCCACAGTACCCCAGACCTTCCATGGTTGCAAGCAAAAATCGCCCTCACAAAAACCCAACAGTGAGGAAAAGGTAAACTTCAAGCACTTCAGAACACCCCTGCAAGGGGTGGGGGCGGAGTAGTTTTGTGAGTTGGAGCAAAAATAACATTTCACCCCCACCCCCACGCAGCTGCTGAGTGAGTTTGCCTGTGAAATGCATCCACCCCAGGACAGGGCAGAGAGGACTGCAAGACCATTCCAAGGTGCTCCACCAGTGGACAAGCAACTGACAGGCTTCCCAGCTTCCTAGAGCACCTGCAGGAAGGCGGCCAACCAAAACTCTGCTGTTGGGCTCCTGGCCAATTTGAGATAGGCCCAAGAACCTACTTAGCTACTGGGAATCCTGGAAAGAATTCTGGACTAGTTGGACCTTGGTCTGAGCCAGCAAGGCACTTCTGACGCCTGCAAGCAAGACTGGATACTGAAGACCACTTGGCAAAGATGAATTAGGCCTTAACAATTCAGACATTCCTAGGGAGCACTCTTGCTTTGTAAATTTGGACGAATACCCCGCAGGGACTCTTAATTCAAGAAGTCAGCCCTCACTGCTGCACTTGTGGGTCTGGGGCAGAGTCGTGAGCCTCTGCAGCCCTGCCTGCGCAGGTCCCTAGCGGATATGAGCCATCTCTTCCAAAAAGGGAGTCTTCATGCAGCCAGTGCACAGCTGATCCATCCAGAGGGGAGCCTCGTGCTGCAGGGGAGTGCGTCTTGGGTAAAAGGTGTAGTTGAGGTCATAGTTGAGCAAGCAGCTGAGCGAGGCCATGTAGACGTCCGAGAAGCGGCACAGGCGGCGTGAGAAATAGGTGGGGTTGTGGCAGGTGCGAAAGATGCTGCCAAACTGAGGATTGAAGAGGTTTTTGGTGAGTGCCCTGCAGCAAGTTTGAGGGGACACAGAGAAGAGAAAGAGAAAGAGTTATTAGGCAACAGCATACAAAATTAAATCTTGGCTTCCTAGGTTCTGTACCTAGCTAGGTGACCTAGCAAGCTGCAACAGGACAATGTGTTTTCATGGAAACTGCAGCATGCAGTTCTAGCTGAAGAATGCACCTCTCCAAGAATCTCAGCTTTCTGTTGGGTAGAATTTCGGTCATAAAAATGAACGTGTTATTGAAAAAGTTATTTTTATTTCAAATTGCCCCAATAATTAATAACCTAAGCTGTTTTAAAGAAGGATATTTCTTGGCAGAAGGATATTTTTAGATTTATCTGGCAGGGGAAGAAACCAAGAATTAAATATAAGATATTGATTGATACTAGGGAAAAATGAGGCTTCCCTCTGCCAGATCTGCATTTATATTACAAAGCAGCATGCTTGTGTTGGTTAAAAGAATGGATAAAGTTGAAGAACACTCAACTGCTCAATTTGGAGGGGTATGGTGTTAAATTTGGTTGGCATGCATGGCTATGGTATGGCAAAGCAAGAATACGTAAGAATTTTATGAATCATGGAATTAGGAGAAATATCTATGGAGTCTGGGGAAAATATAAAAACCTGCTAGAAAGGAAAACACATTTGTGGCTTTGACCCATCAAAACAATTGCAATGAAAAACCTAATATGGAAAAAAGATGGCCAACGTATTGAAAATTACTGGACTTTACAGATACTAGTGTAAGCCTGAAGAAGATGGAAGGAGTCAGCAACAAGTGACAGACTGGTTGCAATACTGTCAAGTGAATGAAACATTTGACGTCAATAAACAATATGGTTTCATGGAAACCTCAGAAAGAGCTGATAGAAAATAACAATAAGTCAGTTTCTAAAATGTATGTTATTACAAGAATGAGAGACAGGATGAAATGGTGAAATTGGCAACGATTAGTTGGGCAGGAGATGTAGGCCATAATATAGTTAGATTTTTGTGAAAAGCTGTGGAAAACGGGACTGAAATTTACAACCTGCTACGCTCTTAAGAAAAACTATTTGAAAATGATTTATAGATGGTACTTGACACCAAACAGATTAGCAAAAATGTATAAGTCAGAGTTGGGTAAATGTTGGAAGTGTAAAGTTATGGATGGGACTTTCAATCATATGTGGTGGAGCCAAAGAATATTGGGAAATGATATATAATGAACTGGGAAAAAATATTTTGGAAGACCTTTCCAAAGAGAGCTGAGGCCTTCCTTTTAGGTATGGTGAGATCTGAGGTTCCAAGTAAACAAGTTAGTCTGTTTAGGTGGTGAGAATTTTATATGAACAAAGATGGAGAAAGGAGTTAGTACCTACAAAGGAGGAATGGCAGACAAAATTAATGGAATATGCAGAATTAGCAAGTTTAACCAGCAAAATTAGAGAGCAAGAAGAGAAAAGTTTTAGAGAGGAATGGAAACCATTTGTAGAATATTTAAAATTTCACTGTAAAAATGTTAGAACCTTAGCCGGTCTGGAATAAGCTCAGCAGTTAAAATTTGTAAGGAGAGAAATTAGAATGTTTAATGGATTAAGAAAAATAGAATATGTAACAGGAATGGGTAGTTTGAAGGAGCCATGGAAGGATGGATGGGAAACTGGTAGTGGCGGCGGCAGCAGAGGCAGTGGTGGCTAGTCAGAAGCCAGAGAGTCAGCAGCAGCAGGGAGGGCTGGATTTAGGACCCTGGCGGGCCTGATCCGGCCTGCGGGCCTTGAAGTCTGAAGACCCTGGGTTAGGGCAACTAATAGCAGCTCATGGCATCTATAGATGAAGGTAGGGGAGCCATTAGAGAGCTCTCCGGTTTGCCCAGCCCAGACCATTGTTTTCTAGAGAAATGAAATCCAAGCCCACCAGATGAGACAGAACCCAGTAGCAGCAAAAGCCTCAATTTGTGAATTCTTTCATGGAATTTTCACAGAAAGAGTATTTACCCAGAAGGAAAGGTTGTTCAGGCCGCACAACATGACTATTAGCACTGGGAGGGGGCAGGGGGGAATGAAGGGGCTGTGAAGAGCTCAAAAAGTGAGCAAGTGTAAAGGAATGCATCCTGGGGCAGCACACACATTTCTTGGAGCGATGGCAGACAGCTCAATAAAAATGTCAACCTAGTGTGCAGCAGCGGTGTAAAAAGTGAATTTTGTGCTAGGGATGAAAACAAGAGACATCACAAATGAGACTGCCACCGGGAGGACTTTCTACAGATGTCTGGAGTGGCTGCACTTGGAATACTGCGAAGAGTTCTGCTTGCTGCACCTCAGAGGAAGGAGAGTGCAGAGCTGTGAAAGGTACAGAAAAGAGGAAACAAAATCAACTCTCCTACATGACATGGTTACAACATTTGTGGCTTTTTAGTTTAGAAAAAAAAGCAAGTAAGAGAAAAGATATGCTGCAATTTATTAAATTATGCATTAGAAGGAGAAAACAGAGAGAAAAATGTTCCCCTGTCTATCCAGGGTCACTGAAGAAATGGAATGTTGGGAGATTCAGGAAAGACAAAAAGAAGCACTAATATTTTAGTCCAAATAGTTCTGGAATTTGATACAAGATGTGGTTGTGGCTGTCAACTTTGGTGTCTTTAAAAGACAAATTCACAGAGGAAGACTATCCAGGGTTACTAGTCACGGGAGGCCCTCTTGGTGACACTGCTGTCTAACTTGTTAGCTATGCTAACTTGCAAAAAGACCTTCTTGACAGCTGTTCCCTGTTTATGAAATGCCCTCTCTGGTGAGATGCAACTGGTTTCCCTCACTCAGGGAGAATTTAGAAAGATTCCTATCCACCCTGGTATTTTATGGCTAGTACACATTGTCCCTGGCAACCTTGAAATTAGCAAGAATACTTGATTGTTTTCAAATGATTTTTTTTTAAGCACTCAGATCCCCAGACCAGATGGGTGGGAGATTGCCTGCTCTTGACGGGATTACACTCCCTCTGAAAGAGCGGGCACGCAGCTCCCTGTGTCCCTCTAGTTCTCCCATGGAATGCTGTTGTGTTTACCCCGCAAATAAGAAGTTACTCTGGCTCTCCTTAGGCAACATACGGTTTTCTGAAAGAAGACCTTGCAAAGGAGGGGACCACTTCACAGAGACCAAACCATACTGGGGAAACTCTTCCATGCCACATTCTCATAAACAGCTATTACGTCTATTTAATTAAATGCTAAATTCAGCTCAGTTCAACTTCTCTCGCCAACAGTCAGCTGAAAACCACCACTGGAGTGTTCAGAGGTCACTGGGAATCCTCTTGAAACTGCTGTGCATGTAGGATCCATACCCACAATAAATGGATTGTATTATTATAATATTATTATTATTATTATTATTATTATTATTATTATTATTATTTACTCGGTCCATCTGACTTGGGTTGCCCCGGCCACTCAGGGTGGTTTCCTACAAATTATAAAACCACAGTAAAACATCAAACATAAAAACTTTCCCATACAGTGGTACCTTAGGTTAAGTACTTAATTCGTTCTGGAGGTCCGTTCTTAACCTGAAGACCACTTTAGCTAATGGGGCTTCCTGCTGCCACTGTGCCGCCGGAGCACAATTTCTGTTCTCATCCTGAAGCAAAGTTCTTAACCCGAGGTAATATTTCTGGGTTAGGGGAGTCTGTAACCTGAAGCGTATGTAACCTGAAGCGTATGTAACCCAAGGTACCACTGTACAGGGCTGCCTTCAGATGACTTCTATCAATCAGATAATTATTTATCTCCTAGACATCCGATGGAAGGGCATTCCACAGGGTGGGCACCACTGCCAGGAAGCCCTTCTGCCTGGTTCCCTGTAACCTCACTTCTTGCAATAAGAGAACCGCCAGAAGGCCCTCGGAGCTGGATCTGGGTGCTCTTGGGGGTAGAGATGCTCCTTCAGATATACAGGGCTGGCCATTTAGGACTTTAAAGGTCAGCACCAACACTTTGAATTGTGCTCGGGAACGTTAGTACACTTTCAACCCGCACTGAGAAACTAGCCATTTTCTGCATGGCAGTGACTGCACAGCTGCCCACTTGCTACAGGCAGACTAGGCAGAGTCAACACCTGGCAGCTGCTGGGGCTCCCTTTAAGAAACTCCACCAATTCAGGCCTGATGCTCCAAGTGCCACCAAAAAGCTGGGTCCAGCTGCCATTTGAATTGCTCATGATGCTCATAATCTGGGCCATTGTAGTAGAGGCTAGAGCCAGTCACCTGGCAATGCTTGAGAGTGCTGCTGCTGCTTCCCACTGCCAGTTAAGCCCAAGCAGTGGCGTAGCGTGGGTTGTCAGCACCCGGGGCAAGGCAAGTAATTTGCGCCCCCTAACCCGTGGATTTTAGCACTCGAGTGCGAGCGCGCCCCACCCCAGATGTTGTGGCCACTGGGGCTGGGGGCGAGCGAAGGAGCCAAGGAGCCCCCCCCCAAAGGCTCAGCAGGAATTTATTAAATTTTTTATTTGCGGAGCCCCCGCGGGCCGAGGCAGCCGAAGCCCCCTCCCCTCGGGCGCCTCCCTGCCCCCTCCTCTCCTTGGGCTGTAGGTGGAGCCCGCACTCCGAGGCGCTCCAGATCCGGGCTTGGCGAGCGCCTCTCCTCCTCCCCGCCGGGTCCGGGGGCTTCCAGCCGTGCTCCGTCCTCGCCCGCCCCCCCCCCCGCGGCTGAGACTTGCGCTGAGAGCCGGAGCCAGCGGCGCCCCCTTCCGCCGGGAGACCCTCGCCCGCCCGCCGGCTTCCTCTCGGAGGGTTTTGGGGAGCGCAGGGCGCGGCGAGGCCCCTCGGAGCTCTCCTCCCTCCCAGTCGGCAGAAGCAGCCGCCGCCTATGGCTGGGCCGAGGGGATGGCGGCGGCGGCGGGGTGTGGAGGCTGCCCGTGCCCGGCCAGGCGTCGGTGGCGGCGTCAGCGCTGCTGCAGCGGCTGCTCCTCCTGCGAGCAGTGAGTGGAGCGCAGCCGCAGCGGTGGGGGCGCACGCGCGCTAGGGCGCAAGGCTGGCGGTGGCGGCGGGGAGCCCGGCGGAGGAAGGAACTTGTCCCTTCCCTCTGGACTCGCGCCCCCCCCGATGTTGCGCCCGGTGCGGCCGGCACCCCGGCACCCCCCACGCTACGCTACTGAGCCCAAGGGAGGAAGGCAACTGATGATGGAGAAGACAGCCTACCAGAGGGCACCTGGACAGGGTCTTCTCAAACCTGGAGTCAGCTGTAAGGAGGCAGGGAGATTTAAGGGTTTCAAAAAATAAGACAAAGCATAAAGCAGCTGCCACAGGCCAACAGTAACTGCAGAAAGTCAGTTCAGGAGGCAGCAGGAGCACAGATTCCCCTTCTTAATCTGTTTAGCTGGAGGGGCCTCTTTAACTTTTTCCTGCCAATCGCTACCTACAGACACAATATTATTTGCCTTTCTTCCAAATGGGCACACCTTCAGAGAGGGAAAATTCTTATTTATGTAGCTCCACCATTAGTTTGTAGAGGCGGCTCTCCACTCCAAAGTGTTTACAAATCTACAAATAGAGCATGGGGTGGAGAAGAAATGCAAATACAGTGGTTACAATTACCTGGGCTTCGTTTCAACAGGGAAACCTAGATCCCAATGAAATCAATGATACTGAACTTAAGTCATGAAGCTGATCTGCTGAAGTCAATGGGACCCAAGTTCAGCTACCTCAGTCCAGATTCAACCCCTTGTGTAGAAGTATAATGAGGCTAAAGGGGTGTGGAAGTCATGAATCTAGGACAACAGAGGGGAGATCCAGATGAGTATGGAATTTTCTGTGGGACAGAATAACCTGATGAGGAGCTAGAATTCAGAAGGAAAAGCAACTACAAGTAGATCAGCCTTGTATTCCATATTTTGTTGTTGTACATTGTATTTTTGTTTTGTATCGTAACCTACTTTGAGTATTATTTTAACAGAAAAACAGGGTATAAATTGTAAATCTCATCTCATCTATTCAAGCATGCAAAGAAGATATGACCCTGCAAGTTGACATTAATACTACAGACTGAAAAAGCAAAGCACCACATGTACAGCCTCGCCCCCAGCTCCCCAAAACATCCTTGGCTAGTTGGCCTGGATAAAACTCTGATTTGCCACAGACACTCAGGCATGTGGCTATTTGTAACCCTGGATCTGGCACACTGAAGCGCATGGGAAGGCCGAGATAAAATGCTACCTGAGCTCTTGTCGCTCCTTCATCCAGTCCTGCAACACCTTCTGAGCCTCTGGATCCTTGAACATCTTTTGGAGAAACAAACCAAGTGGTTAGAAATGCAGTTGATGATCCCATCCTGCCTTAAAACTCACTAAACCAACTTCTGCAGAAGAAATCCACCTTTTTACCTACTGATTAATGTCCACAGCCCATAAGCTAGCTAGAAACTTCATTTCTTCTATGTTAACTGGTCTTTAGGGCACCTTATTGATTCTATAACCAATGGATTGATTCTATAACCAATGGCTTCAAGTTACAAGACAGGAGATTCCGACTAAACATCAGGAAAAACTTTCTGACAGGAAGAGCTGTTTGGCAGTGGAAGGGACTCTCTCAGAAGGTGGTGGACTCGCCTTCCTTGGAGGTTTTCAAGCAGAGGTTGGGTGGCCATCTGCCAAGTATGCTTTAGTTGAGATTCCTGCATTGCAGGGGGTTGGACCATATGACCCTCAGGGTCCCATCCAACTCTACAATTCTAGGATTTTAGGATTATTGCTCTACTATTTTAGCATCCTTTGCCATCTCTCAAGAGCATAGAATCATAGAATCATAGAATCATAGAGTTGGAAGAGACCACAAGGGCCATCGAGTCCAACCCCCTGCCAAGCAGGAAACACCATCAGAGCACTCCTGACATATGGTTGTCAAGCCTCTGCTTAAAGACCTCCAAAGAAGGAGACTCCAACACACTCCTTGGCAGCAAATTCCACTGTCGAACAGCTCTTACTGTCAGGAAGTTCTTTCTAATGTTTAGGTGGAATCTTCTTTCTTGTACTTTGGATCCATTGCTCCGTGTCCGCTTCTCTGGAGCAGCAGAAAACAGCCTTTCTCCCTCCTCTATGTGACATCCTTTTATATATTTGAACATGGCTATCATATCACCCCTTAACCTCCTCTTCTCCAGGCTAAACATGCCCAGCTCCCTTAGCCGTTCCTCATAAGGCATCATTTCCAGGCCTTTGACCATTTTGGTTGCCCTCCTCTGGACACGTTCCAGTTTGTCAGTGTCCTTCTTGAACTGTGGTGCCCAGAACTGGACACAGTACTCCAGGTGAGGTCTGACCAGAGCAGAATACAGTGGCACTATTACTTCCCTTGATCTAGATGCTATACTCCTATTGATGAGGCCCAGAATTGCATTGGCTTTTTTAGCTGCCGCGTCACACTGTTGGCTCATGTCAAGTTTGTGGTCAACCAAGACTCCTAGATCCTTTTCACATGTACTGCTCTCAAGCCAGGTGTCACCCATCTTGTATTTGTGCCTCTCATTTTTTTTGCCCAAGTGCAATACTTTACATTTCTCCCTGTTAAAATTCATCTTGTTTGTTTTGGCCCAGTTCTCTAATCTGTCAAGGTCGTTTTGAAGTGTGATCCTGTCCTCTGGGGTGTTAGCCACCCCTCCCAGTTTGGTGTCATCTGCAAATTTGATCAGGATGCCCTTGAGTCCATCATCCAAGTCGTTGATAAAGATGTTGAATAAGACCGGGCCCAAGACAGAACCCTGTGGCACCCCACTAGTCACTCTTCTCCAGGATGAAGAGGAACCATTGATGAGCACCCTTTGGGTTCGGTCAGTCAGCCAGTTACAAATCCACTGAGTGGTAGCATAGTCAAGACCGCATTTTACCAGCTTCTTTACAAGAATATCATGGGGCACCTTGTCGAATGCCTTGCTGAAATCAAGGTAGACTACATCCACTGCGTTCCCTTCATCTACCAGGCTTGTAATTCTGTCAAAAAACGAGATCAGGTTAGTCTGACATGACTTATTTTTCAGAAATCCATGCTGACTATTGGTGATCACAGCATTCCTTTCTAGGTGCTCACAGACTGTTTGCTTAATGATCTGCTCCAGAATCTTCCCTGGTATTGATGTCAGACTGACTGGGCGGTAATTATTTGGGTCCTCTCTTTTCCCCTTTTTGAAAATAGGGACAACATTTGCCCTCCTCCAGTCTGCCGGGACTTCGCCTGTTCTCCAGGAATTCTCAAAGATGACTGCCAGTGGTTCTGAAATCACATCTGCCAGTTCTTTTAATACTCTTGGATGCAGTTCATCTGGCCCTGGAGACTTGAATACATCTAGACTAGCCAAGTATTCTTGTACTATCTCCTTAGTTATTCTGGGCTGTGTTTCCTCTGCTGAATCATTTGCTCCAAATTCTTCAGGTCGGGCATTGTTTTCTTTATCGGAGAAGACTGAGGCAAAGAAGGCATTGAGGAGTTCAGCCCTTTCTGTGTCCCCTGTTTGCATTTCACCATCTTCTCCTCTGAGTGACCCCACGGTTTCTTTGTTCTTCCTTTTGCTACGAACATACCCATAAAAGCCTTTTTTGTTGCTTTTAACCTCTCTAGCAAGCCTGAGTTCATTTTGTGCTTTAGCTTTTCTGACTTTGTGTCTACACGTGCTGGCTATTTGTTTGAATTCCTCTTTGGTGGTTTCCCCCCTTTTCCATTTTTTGTACACATCCTTTTTTAATCTTAACTCAGTTAAAAGTTCTTTAGATAGCCACCCTGGCTTCTTTAGGCACCTTCCATGTTTCCGTCTCATTGGTATTGCCTGAAGTTGTGCTTTTACTATCTCCCTCTTAACAAACTCCCAGCCATCTTGAACTCCCTTGAAAGAGCAACCCTCCATGAAGAGCTCTGTGCCCTTTCCCCATTCCATTCTCAGCCACCAAGTGGACTCTCCTCTACCTGCATGCGCTCCAGCAAGCCGGTCAAGGCCTGCAGCCAGGTGAGTGCTTGTGAGTACTGTTCTGTGTTCACCATTTTGGTCTCTGTTTCCAGTTCGGGAACTATGGCCCCTGTTCGCCAGCCATGGCGCAGCATCAGGTCCTGTGGGGAGACGGGTACAGTGGAAGAAGGAAGGCATAGGCAAGCCCAAAGCAACTTCACCCACTCTCCCCTCCCTTCAACTCAGTCAGGTCACAGCTCCCACAGGCCACACTCCGTTCCTGCCCCAGAGAAAAAGGCCCAAAGATCTCACCGCCAGGTCACTGTAGAGATGATCTCCGAAGTAGAGAACTTTGGATCCACGCCAGCCTGTAAGCTGGAGGAAGTCAACGAGGTTGCCCTATATTTTATTTTTTGACAGTGGAATGAGAAAGGGTGCATTAAAATCACCAGACAGGTGATGTCAGTTAAAGGAGTTCTATAAATACAGGAACAAAATGGCTACACAATTTTTACATTAATATAGAATGAGGTTAAACATAAGAGGCTGAATTTTCACCTAGAATTGACAAAAGATATGGAATTACTTGCTGGTATGGAGAAGGCAGCCTGGTGCCAACCTCCAGAAACAGAGAGCGCTGGGCAAGAAGCCCTCAGTGGGCTTTTCTCCTCTCCCTTGCTTGCCCACTGTGCCATGGCGAGGGTGAGCCCAGACTAGGCCGTGTCCTCACCACCAGAGAGAGAGAGAGAGAGAGAGAGAGAGAGTGCACACAACTTAGCAAAGGGTGGCTGTTAAAAGTGGCCCTGTTGGCCAGCTCAACACCATTCCCGACTTCTTCCTCACACCCTACTTGAAACTGTAGGGCAGGGATAGGCAACCTGTGATCCTCCAGATGCTGCTAGACTACAATTCCCATCATCTTTGATCAGTGGACATAGCGGCTGAGGTTGATGGGAGTTGTGGTTCAATAACATCTGAAGGGTCACACAGGCTCCTGTCATAGGGTGGAACTGGATTAGACCTGCAAGAGAGGAGATTACTTCCCCCATCCCTTAGGTATCTGATTTGACATCCATCCAAAGCTGCCTCAAGAATAACCAAGTGGAGAAAAGTGTGTGTGTATGTGTGTGTGTGTGTGTGTGTGTGTGTGTGTGTACACAGAAGATGATATGCTGAAGGACTGAGATGCCCAAGTTACAAGCATGGAAAGATCTGGTATATTAATTCCATTTTTCCAGAAGACAGACAATCCCACCACCATGACATTTTTATCGTCCACAATCCATTTCCTCACCTGCTTATATACCTGCCCCTTCTCCAGCTTAGTTATTTTGTCCCACTGCAGATCCCCATTAGCATCCAGTCGCCGGAAAGGTCTGAGGAGAGAAGCAAGTGGGGGGTGGGTGGGGGGTGCCAACAAGACCCTCTGCTCTCCCAGAGCTGGGAGCAAAAGGACAGCATGAGCTCCTGGGACCTAGCACCTGGCCTCCAAACCCACAAAATCATCCTCACTTGCCCACTCTCACACTGTTTCTGTGGGGAACCTACACATAAGATTGTGTAGCTGTTTTCTGCAAATTCTTGTGTGAAGTGGCTCTTGGAGCCAAGGAAAACCAGGAGCCGTGACTTTGCATTGCATTTTGGCAATATTATAAAAAGTGCAATTTAAGATGCACCTCCTTAAGGACTTATTTTCATTCTTTTATTTATTTAACAAAAATATATGTACCTCTTGATTGTAATAAAACCATTCCATGTGGTTTAAATGTCAGTAAGACACAAAAAGGGAAGGGGAAGAAAGTATACAAGATATAGGAAAGAAGGAGAAGAATGACAGGAAGTGAAAACAGAATATTCAGAAGTCATGTATAATTTACAAAGCACCCCTATCTTCATAAAAGCAGACAAGCATTTCTGTCCCAAGCCAGTGTAAGTGTGTAGCCTTCCCCACCCCACACACTTATTTTTTCTGTCTCACAGAAAAGCAAGCAGAGGAATATTTAGGGCAATCAAGTCAGTATTAAGTCACTTTTTTAAAAGTAAAGAAAGGAGGAAAATGATGCAGTTGGGCAGATAGCAGGATTTCAAATTTACACAGAATGCTCCCACCTCCAGCAACAGAAAACAAACAGAATATTTGGCTCTCTGTAAAGTGGCCAGAGGCAACCTACCAGGTTCTTAAGGCTCAAGTCTCTATACTGACTGGTGTAATCTATAAGACAGTGCATGTGTGCGAGGGCCAGCACTGCTTCCCAGACTTCAGGCTGTGCGCTCTGCCCCCCAACCGCCCAAGGTGGATGCACTAGAACTCATCCCTCAATGTGGCATACAGGATCTGGAAGCCACAGCAGGAGCTTTAGAGTGGGCCACACTTACTTGACACAATCATTGAAGAAATGAGGCTTGTCTGCCTGGACTATGACCACGTCAAAGAAGTCCCGCCAGTCTTTACCAACCATGTACCGCATCCCTTTATTGCTGGAAAGGAGGAAAAAGGCCCATTAGGAATAGGAGAGGGAATGTCACCAGTAGCAGACAGCAGGGGGAGCTTCTATGGGCTCTTGCAACACAGACCAAGGAAGCCTGAGAAGGGCAGAAGATATTCCAGCAGAAGAATCGGCAGAGGGCAGGAGCTAATAATAATAATAATAATAATAATAATAATAATAATAATAATAGTAATAATTTATTTGTATTCCGCCCTCCCCGGCCAAAGCCGGGCTCAGAGCGGCTATAATTCACTCCTTTCTCACAGCCCACAGTAGTGCTCCCTGTTCATCTTCCTCCTTTATTCTCCTGTCTACCATGAGACTGTCAAATTAGTGTAAGCTGTCTGCCTAAAAGGGCTAGTAGTGTAACACTTTAAGTCAAACCTAAAAAAATCTTCGACTATCTCAAGGGCAGCACATGGAAGATGGAGCAAGCTTAGTTTCTCCTGCTCCAGAGGGCAGGACCCAAACCAATGGCCTTCAAGTGACAAGAAAGGAGATTCTGACCAAACAAGAACTTTCTGATGGCAAGAGCTGTTTGATAGACTCTCCTTCACTGGAAGTGTTTAAGCAGAAGTCGGATGGCCACCTGTCATGGATGCTCTAGTTACGATTCCTACACTGCAGCGGGATGGACTCGATGACCCTCAGGCTCCCTTCCATGAAAATGCAGGAGCAGCTGGTGCAGGAGAGCCCGAGAGATTCCAACAGATTGGCTCAAGATCAGCATTTAAGCCGAGTTTAAATGAAGTCTATTGTAGATCAACAGTTTTGGACCAGGACAATGCTAATGTCCAGCCTACTTCTAGCTTGCAGCCTTGCCATGTTCAGACTCACACAAAGCTGAAAGGGCTGTTGGTGATGAGGAAGAGCTTCTTGCCACACTTGGCCAGGCGGTGCAGCACGGCGTATGTCTCATCCCCACGCAGGATGTACTTCTCTGCAGAGGGAAGATGGGCATTAAAAACTTCTCCATGCAGACAGAACCAAGAGACAAACTGAAACGAGCTTCATTGGGTGGGAAGGAGCAGTGCTGGGGGGATTGTTGTTTTCGTTTTCTGACTTAGGCTGGGCTTTGTGTATATGCCTACGCTGTGCAAGTGAACAAAAAGTACACAATGTGGCACAACGCAACCCCCCCTTTTAAAGCAAGTTTCTAGCCCTTGTTGCTGTGCAGATGCACATGAAAGCACCTGGCCAATCCCTCTCTGACTTCTGGGACGAAGGGCGGGGCTTCAGTCTCCTGGCTTCTCCTGTGACTGCAGAATTTAGCTTTCTTGGTGTGGAATGTGCTTGGTCCAGGCACAGAGAATGCACAGACGAAGAGACTTCAGCCAGGCCTGATCTTTGGTTTTGCCTTCCCTTAAGCAGTCCACTGCTCGGTTCACTTGCTTAAGCCTCTGTGCCATTCTGCTAAATCACTTCATGCAGGAAAAACAGCCCATTGTGGAACATTTCACTTCTGACACACTAGGCTAGCTAACCAGCGTGTTTTGTTCTACAGCTTAGCTAGTGGGTGGACGCTCTTCCTTTGGGAAAGGCAGCAGGCCTGGAAAGGCCATTTGCATCCCTTGCAGCCCTCTGCTTGCGTGGTTGCCCTGCCTCCAGCCCCTTGGCAGATGGATACTCACCCAGATCCTGCATAATCCATTTGTACATAAAGCCTTTAATATGGACATCCCGGATGGCATCCTATTGAAAAACCTTTTTTAATAATAGTTTTAAAAAGCACCTCAGAAATACACAAACAAGTTTAACAATGTGCACACTGGTCTAGCTGCCCCTGACCTGCGTTTCCAATGCTTCACCAACACCCTGAAAGTTGCTTTTGAGAGATGGTACTTTGGAAAGGAAGGCTATACAGCTCCCTTGCTCTGCACCCCTTCCAAGCTGGCTTCTGGGCTAAAGTGGGGGGCTAAGAGCCAGAATCACCCCACTTGCCCCTCTATCCCAAGCTAGGTTACCTAGTTGGGTGGGGAGGCACTGCAAACTTTTGCAAACTGGCCCCAGCCTCCCACAAATCACTTGCCTCTGTTGCTCCATTGCTTTACAACATATTCCGATGGCCAAGCCAGTTTAGAGATCCATATCTGGATCACTTGCTTTAAAAAGGAAAAAAAAGTAATAGTAGCCACCAGTTTTTTTTTTGGGGGGGGGGGGTTAACAAGAATCCAACTGGGACTCCAGAACTGTAGGAATAGGGTTAACCCTTTCCTTTTCAGCCCTGCTTTCCCTGACAGGGATGTGGGTGGAGGGAGTTCAGAGACACGGATACTTGCTTGTTTTCCTCCACAGGGCAAATAGCGGCTTCAGTGTGTGTGGGGGGGGGCATGCATTTACAAGGGGAAAACATCTCCGTTTGAACCACAGCCCAAATCTGATTTGAGAAATCCCACAGGTGTTTTTACCTGTTTAAATAAATGCAGCAGACCTTGCTACAGTTACAGCTAGCTTGGGCCTTGCCTGTTTCTGTCTTTCTTCCTCTTTCAAACATACAGTGGTGCCTCGCAAGACGAAATTAATTCGTTCCACAAGTTTTTTCTTCTTGCGAGTTTTTCGTCTTGCGAAGCACGGTTTCCCATAGGAATGCATTGAAAATCAATTAATGCGTTCCTAGGGAAACCGCTTGCCAGGCTGGCGGTGCGGAGAAGGGCTTTTCTCCCCACCGCAAGCCTTCAGGACAGGTACGGGAACAGAGGGGAAGGCGCGCAGCGCTTTCCCTCTGTTCCCGGGGCTTGCGTGGGAGGAGGGTTTTTCCTCCCCACCGCCAACATTCAGAACAGCATTCTGAATGTTGGCGGTGGGAAGGAAAACCCTCCTCCCACCCCAAGTCTTCAGGAAAGCCATCCGAAGCCGGGCGGCGGGAGAAGGTGTCCCCGCCCCGCCGCCCGGCTTCGGAGCTTCGTTCCGATGCCGGGCAGCGGGAGGAGGCGTTCCCGCCCCGCCGCCCAGCATCGAAGCTTCATTCCGATGCCGGGCGGCGGGAGGAGGCGTTCCCGCCCCGCCGCCCGGCTTCGGAGCTTCGATCCGATGCCGGGCGGCGGGAGGAGGTCCGAGGACAGTGGGGAAGACGCGCTGCGCTTCCCCGCTGTCCCGGAGATTTCCCTATGGGCTTTCGTCTTGCGAAGCAAGCCCATAGGGAAATTCGTTTTGCGAAGTGCCTCCAAAACGGAAAACCCTTTCGTCTAGTGGGTTTTCCGTCTTGCGAGGCGTTCGTCTTGCGGGGTACCACTGTAGAGAAATTCCCAGCTACTTTCCAAAAAAGTGGTGCGCACACAGTGGTTTAAAATGGCTTCTAAGCACTCCATGTGTATACACTTTTGGCACTGACAACATCCCATTGGCAGCTTGCACTCTAAAATGCATTCTGCAGGCAGGGTTTTTTTTTACATTTGTGGTGACATTTTGCTGCACGCCCCTACCTGACAGCACTCCTCAATGGTCTTTTTTTAAAAAAATAAATAAATAAACCTGTTTTTTAATGCAAATCTGGCATAACAGAAAAGTTGTATCCAAAAAAAATTTGGCTGCATAGGAAAATGAATACATGTGTGCATACCCACAATGGGCCTCACGTTTCTGGAACTTAGGGAAGGTGGGGAAGTACTGAGAGGAGGGGACAATAAGAAACAGTGTGAAAACATCCCATCAACTACTAGCCACTAGTGTGGACAGGAAATAATGTGACAGTGCTTTCCATTCCTCATCTGGATAGGCGTGCAGACAAGAAGAAATGATCAATCCATAATTTTAATGGTAGGTTTATTGTAGCTTTGAGAGACAGAATAACAACAGGAAAACCCCCAGAAACCCAGAAGACAAAGGTCTGGGATTACAGGTAAGACCTCTCCCTTACAGCAGGTGCTTCTAATCTCAGCTCGTTACATACAGTGAAGATACCAGGTAGCCTGACATTTGGCTGGTTGATAGGGGATCAAATACTTCTTTCACTCATTATAATGCACACCAATCTCTGACTTTTGTCTTCTAGGTTTCTGGAGGTTTTCCTGTTGTTATTCTGTCTCTCACAGCTACAATAAACCTACCATTACAATTATGGACTGGTCATTTCTTCATCAGAAGGCAAACGGGCAAATTTAGCAGGGGATCATATACCCCCCCCTCACTGTAGAATACAAGCATGAGAACCCACTAAGCCTGTCCCTATTTTCAGGTGGAATTCAATCAGATACAGGCAAAGTCACATTCCGGGAGGCTAATAGAATTGTGCAGTTATCATTGATTGGGAGGTCTTGTGTAGCAAACCTGCTCCCCCCCCAAGACTACTTGTGATAAGGAAAGTGATGGACAAATGCACTGGGAAGTGTGGGGTAACACAACGTCATCTAATCCCCCCACAAACAAATCAGAAGGTTGGCTTGCTAATGAGCATTTGCCATCTAATCTTCCTGCAAACAAATTGGAATGAATGCTCAATAGAGAGGTCTCTTGGAAGAGTCAAAGGGCCTACGTGCATCGAGGCAGCAATGGAGCAATGCTATTTATGACAATGCCTGTTCTGACCTCTTGCCCTGGATCAAGGAGACAGGCAGGCTCCAGAGAAGCTGTGAGTCTGAGAGGCAGAGCCAGATGTCTCAAGTTTCCAAAGATACAACGAAGAAGGAGACTTGCCTTTTCAAAACACCGGCAGAGGAGGAGAAAGAGGCCCATGCCGTGTGCCTTGGGGCAGCTGGGCTCCTTGATAAGCCTCCCTGGCAGCTAAGCAGGCAGCCCCTCCCAATTCTCTCCGTGGTTCAGGACAGCCTGTTCTGCTGTGGCGAGATACGTCACTCCCTCCCACAACAAAGTAGTAAAAAAGAAAGAACTGAACAGAGCCCTTGAGAGCACTCAAATCCTCCTCCTCAATTCGCCTGCAGGGTAAACCACAGAGAACACGGAGTCCTCCCCCCCACCACCACCAAAAAAGGACACCTAGCAAGCAACAATCCTCCTGCCAATTCTCAACACAGAAGCCTACATCTCAACACTCAGCAACAAGAGCAGAATATGCCGGAAAGTGGAGGGAAACACACCGTTACGTCTTTGTAGAGATGGATGGGATCGTAATCAATGTCGTTGGTGATGAAGAAGTCATTGACTACGGCCAGGAGGGTCATTTCAGGGAGAGAGAAGATGTCCATAAACTGCTTTATGGCTGGACCCTGGGAAGACCAAGGGAGGGAAGGAGAAACAAAAGATTGTTCCTGGCTTGAACAGCAACTCTCAATCAGAACTGCCTGCACTCATCACCCATTTCTTGCTAGTGCAAGGACTGTAAGTGTCCGACTTTGCAGAATTCCTGGTTCATCCAGTCCAGCTACACATCAGAGCCCTACATTCACCAACCACCTTCAAAATCCACAATTAAGTGAGAGTGAGATATTTACTTCCGCCTTCCATTCATTTGATTTATCAGATACAGTCATAAAGGTAAAGGTAACAGGTTCCCCCTGCCTGTACGGGCCAGTCTTGCCAGGGACTCTAGGGTTGTGCGCTCATCTCACTCTATTAGGCCGGGGGCCAGCAGCTGTCCACAGACACTTCCGGTCACGTGGCCAGCGTGACAAAGCTGCATTACTGGCGAGCCACGGAACGCCGTTTAGCCTTTCCCAGCTGGTAAGCCGGTCCCCTAATTTATTCTACTTGCAGCCCGGGGGTGCTTTTCGAACTGCTAGGTTGGCAAGGCGTTGGGAATACCAGAGCGACGGTGAGCGCACCCCGCCGGCGGGGATTCGAACCGCCGACCATGTGATCGGCAAGGTCCTAGGTCGGTGAGGTTTTACCACAGCGCCACCCACGTCCCATGATACAGTCATACCTTGGGATAAATATGCTTCAGATGTATTTTCGGGTTGCGCTCGCAGTGACCCGGAGGTAACAGAGCACATTACTTCCGGGTTTCGCTGCTCGCGCAGACGGTCAAAATGACATCATGCGCATGCGCAGAAGCGGCAAAATGCGGCATGCCCAGATGCGTCTTACGTTCTATTCAGGATGCGAATGGGGCTCCAGAACGGATCCTGTTCGCATCCTGAGGTACCACTGTACATAGATCCAGACTGGAGAAAAATGGGGAAGGCAAGAGACATGAAGATTAGATAAAGGCAGCTAGGAGGTACAGAGCACCCTCCGTGAGCCCCAGGGGAAAGGGGCTGCCGTGAGACTATTTCACCGGGAAGTTCTTGCCTACCCACACTGCATTCTGAGTGTCAAACAACACACTATGTTAAATGCATAGTTTCTTGTTCGTTCATTTGTTTAAAAAACATAAAATAGTACCTATGGAATGTTCCGATCAGGATCAGGACCAGGACGGTGGTACCTTAGGATGTGAAAGTGGTGCATTGAGAGTGGGGGGAGGAGGTCATTGGTTTGGTTTGTTCTTGTTTTTATTATCCATTTTGTGTTTTTATCTTGTATTTTTATGCTGTGGATTGTCCTTAGATCTTTGAATGAAGGGTGGCATACAAATTTTATAAATAAAATAAAGTAACGATTTCCTCTCATGTTGAGCCAAAAACACACACACAGAGCTCAGGCTATCTGCACTGTAAGAGCAGAGCTTAGGTGTTTCTTCGGCAACAGTCACCCTCAGACTGAGGCTTAAACAGGAGCTGCAGCTGTATCTCAGTTGCTGGCTCTGTGCCCATGAAGTGAAAAACTGGACACAAAAGTTGAGCTCTTTTTTGCGGGGGTGGGGTGGGGGGCAAAGTTGTTAAGTTGTTCATTGTTTTTAATGAAATTCAGCAAAACCGACACTTCTGACAGGGGCTGCCACACACCCGGATTTTCCTGGACATTCATCGATTTCCACCCGGACACTGTTTACGAGGGCTGAATACCAGACGTATGGCAACCCTATTTAAAGGGGCCAAGTCTGCTTTATCTGCCATTGACTCTTGGGGAGTGGGATGGCGCTTGAGTCCTCTGAGCCAGGGCAACATTACACCTTCAGCTAGAGAGGCTCACACCTCTTCGACAAATTCCTTCTGGTTAGTTATGTACATCTAGGACTGGCTCCAAGGGCAAGGCCAGTACTGGCATGTGGGGTGCTCTGCCAACATGACGAAAACTTCACTATGGATGCCCCTTTTCAAAGAAGACCACTTCATCCTTACTCCAGCATCTCAGTTTGCCATGCACCCTGCAGTATTCCCTGCAAAAACTCCTGAGACAATGCAGTGCCCTACCAAATACTTGGTAGAGAAACCAGGTGAATATGGAGGTCCAGCCTAGAAAGGAGATGCAACTGCAGGCCAACTAAGCTCCCTTTATAACTTGGTGGACCCTGGATAGCAGAGATACATAGGAAGGCAAATAAAAGGAGCTACACACTGCTGGCACCTGGTCCCCTCTTGCCACATCTCAAGTCAGAAACAGAAACTGAGCAACGAGAGACACTGGCCAATGGCCTTCAAACCAACTCCAGGGCTAGCAAGGGAACCAACCTTTCCATAGAAGCCACTAGCCTGGTGGAGGGGGATATGAAGGGTACCATCATACAACGCCAGCACCTCGTCATCTGGAACCGGTTTCAAGCCCCTGGAGAATGCCAAAAGGGGGAAAGGTTTAGGAGCTTGGAAGTGTCGCCAGGAGCACATCATTTCGCAGCTGAAGCAAAGTACTGCATGTGAGTAATGTGGCTATGAAGTTATGATTTCCAGTTTGACTGGTGTAGACATGATGCGGTCTCCTTACAAACTAGTTTGCAAATTTTGAGCCAGAGCAAGGGATGAATGCTCCTTCCCCTCTTCCTTGCTTTGTTTGACTTAACCATGGTTTAATATTCCATGTGAACCACAGCTAGCCATGGCTAACACAAATTTAACCATAGTTTTCAAGGGAGATTAAAAGGACCACATGCCTTTGAGACTGCTTCCCAACTTGCAAATTCTATTTCCTGGGAGTCAGGGTTATATCTTAGGCATGACCACATAGAAGAATATTAAAAATTAGGTCTAGGAACAGCCTCAATTCCAATATCTCAGCTATGAAATTCTGCTCCATCTCAGCCATTGGGGGCCAATGAGAGCAACACTTACCGGTAAACGGTGCCCAGCTGAATGTAATGAAAGGCATCTATCTTCATGAGCAAGCCCTGTATGGACGACAGAAGAGAAATGTGGAGTCAGCACACAGGAAACCTATATTGCAAATTAGTTCATGAAACGATACTTTATTTATTTATTGAATTTGTATAACACCCTTCATCTGAAGATCACAGGGTGGTTCACCACATAAAAATACAAAATATGAACACAAAATACATTATAAAAACAAGAGCAAAACAAACCAATAACACTCTTCCCACAAACACATTTAAAAGGACACACAGGGTGGTCCAACGCATGGCCAAAGGGCTCCATGTGGCCCCCAAAGCCTTTTACGGTGGCCCTTTGAAACATTTGATGCCCCATCCCTTGCACGGCCTTCCCAAAGCTGGATTAGCAAGGCTCTGGGCTTTGGGAAGTAGGTGTGAGGGCACTGACAGGATCCCAGATTCCTCTTGCCTCCTTCCCAAAGCCTAGTTAGTGCTTTTCCAACTTTGGGAAGGAGGGCTCTAGGACCCTGCCAGAGCCAAGTGCCTTCATCCCAAAGAAGGCCCAGGTGTGTGAGTCAAATCTTGGTGATCCTACCCCCCATGAGACAAGGCAACGTGCAGCCCACTTGGTATGAGAAGTTGGACCGCCCTGATCAGCCAAAGCCAAAGGACTAGAGAAACATTTTTGCCTGGCACCTAAAGATATGTAATGAAGGTACCAGGTGAGCCTCTCTGTGGAGAGCATCCCACAAGTGGGGAACCATCATAGAAAAGGACACTCTGGTCCTCACATGGAGGACACACACAAAGAAGGGCCTCAGATGATGATTGCAGGGTCTGAGTAGGTTCATATGGAGGAGGTGGTCCTTGAGGTATTGTGGTCCTTAGCCATTTAAGTCTTTATAGGTCTAAACCAGCACTTTGAATTGGGCCCAGAAACTAATTGGCAGTCTGTGCAGTTGGGCCAGGATTGGTGTAATATGCTCAAACCGTCTTGCCCTGGTGAGCAACCTGGTCACTGAATTCTGCACCAGCTGAAGCTTCCAAACCGTCTTCCGAGGCAGCCCTATGTATAACGCATTGCCTGCCCACATTTGTGCTACATGGATGACCACAACGGAAAAAGAGAACAAACTCTTCCCTTGGCTTACAATTAACCCCCTGCTGAAAGTGACCCTTATTTGCACAGGTGACAAGTAATAATGCTTAGCATTTATTTAAGAAGACTTTTAAAATGTTCCAGGTTGATTACGCTACTGCATTAGGCCATTGCAGTTTGGCTAAGAACACCTGGTGACTTCAGGCTAAAGTGAGATTTGACACATGCACACACAGCTCTGCTCTTCCAGCCTCTGCTGTCCTGCCAAAGCCACAACAACAGGACAAGCCACCGGTCTCTGTCTCACCTTGGCAATGTCGTAGTGTAAGCCCCGGATGGCAAAGTTCGGCCAATATTCATACTTCAGGATGCCCTTTGGATACTGATGGGACAGAACAAAACATACAATTTGCAAGGTGGTCAATCAGTTTAAAAAGTCTAGAGCATTTCAAGTGTCATTTGGAAGCGGATTTCAAATATAATACTTTTTCTCGATGAAGTCAATGCGGGGAATTGCTTGGAACCATACTATCCATATTTATCAGCTACAATTGGGATCCCAGAGGCAAGCACAGACAGCAGGGATAGGGAACCTCTGTGGCCCTACAGATGTTGATGGACTACAGCTCCCATCAGCCCCAATCCATTAGCCATGCTGCTTTCTGGTGATGATGGTTGTTGAGAGTCCAACAACATTGGAAGGCCCATACAGGTCCCCAAGCATGAAGGGCAAACGCACATTCTACCCATTAAGAGGCAGAGGAGGCATGAAAGGAGCAGCCATTTTGGTCTGTCTGCCCTGTTCACGTATAAGACAAGAGGTAAAAGTTAACTTTTTAGCACTTGAATGAGGAGTGCTAAACCCTCCCCTTTCCCCACTGCTTCAAGTGTCTTTTCTAGCCTGGGCCACTTTGGATAACTGAGCTGCCAGAAAAGTGCCTGCAGTGACAGAGCATGGTGAGGTAAAGACAGCAGAGGGTTCAGCTTCGTCCACCTGAATGCTCCTTTTGATGCAGAAACCAAACACATACAGTTTACACAGAACAGGACAAACATACAAACACGGCTGCCTCCTTCTCTCATGTCTTGCTTAGCCTAAGGCAGGGCTGGGGAACCTTTCTAGCTCCACTGGTCAGATCCTGGCCTTGGCTGCCAACCACCTGGTGTCACCATGATAGCAAGTGCCTTTGACTTCAAAGTGGAGTACAAGAGTCCTGCACTGTGCTTTAAAATGCCTGCAGCTCCAGTTTTGCTGCCCACCAGCTGATGGGTGGTAGAGCCACAGCCTGCTTTCTGCAGACATCCGGTGTGTGAGGAAGTTCCTCACAGGGAGCACTTCAGCAGCCAATCCAGCGCTGCTCAGCTGACGGGCGGTATATCCGGAGCCTGATTTCCCTTGCCAATGCACAATTGTGAACATGGTTTAAGTGTACATATGATGTCAGGTGTGGGGGCAGGTGGGCAAGTTTTGGGGGAAATGGGCTCATGGATCAAGCAGGTACCCTTGGTGGGCCAACTTTGGCCTGTGGACCACAGGCTCCCCACCCCCCAAAGGTTTTCAAACCTTCAGTCGCCACCATTTGTCCAAGCCAAGCACCTCCAATTTTGCCAATTACTTTTCTCATGTTCTAGTCAACAGGACATGCAAGCTCTAGAGGTACCTTATACTGCTCCACAAGGATGTCCCGGGCTGTGTTGTAGATGCAAGAGTGGAGGGCAGGTGAGTATAACGCCAGTGTGTAGTCATAGTCAAATCCATAAACTCCGATAGTACTCAGGGAAATCTCATTGTTGGAGTAGATTGTTGACGGGTTCAGAAGATTGCAGACCCCTGGGGGAAGCAAATCTGGCGGAAGATGGAAGCACAAGCAATTACCACACACTTCCAAATGGATGCCTCTTACAGACAAAAGTAGGGGTACCCAACACGTCAGAAACATTGGCCTCCTGAGATTGCGCGCTGTGCTGCAATGACAGACACACACCACCATTTCTATACATTTCTCTCCATTCGACAACCTAGGTATACTGCATTCCCAGTGCCATAAGGCAAGGAAATCCCATTTTTTGAAACATAGAGATTCACCAAAAATAGCCAAATATATGGTTTTATTTAGTTCCAAAAGGTAATAAAATTGTGATCCAGGGATGGAGGGGAGGGGACCTGACTCATTGCATGGATGGGAGGGAGAATACAAGGAGCAGTTTCTGAGGGAGTTTTTAGATAGGGCTTGATTTGAGATGGGAGAAAGGGATTAGGATAGAATTTGTCTGAGGGAGAACTGGTTCTGATTTGAGTTGAACAACCACACTGAGGAGACAATCTACAGCAAGAGGAAGGAGTCTCACAGCTTAGATAGGAAGACTGGGTTGAGTGTCTGGAGAAGGCTAAGTCTGTGCCAGGGGAGGTAGAACCTACAGACTACCTGGGTTTCATTCTAGCCAGAAGGGGAGAATTCTTCTAGGAAAAGATGACTCCCAAGCCGGAAACAAGGGGTGAGGTGACCCTCTGCCCTCAGGAGGCAGATTGTTAAGAGAGTGGGTAACTGACAAAACGTGTCCCTCACTCATGAACCAAAGTTAGTGGGATAAGTCCTCTACAACTGCGTTTGCACATAATGCTAAGCCATGGTTTATTCAACAAATCATCTTGCAGACGAACAAATAAGCCGTGGCTCCTTTCTCCAAAGCTTGGTTTGGTTTCCAGATGCTCTTGCCTATGTGGCATCATGAGTGGCTGCAGGAAACAAGCAAATCATAGTTAAGCAAGCCTGTTGGGTTTGGAAATAATGTCAAACCACAGTTAAAACAGGTCATGGTTCTTAAGCCAACAACAAACCCTGGCTTCATTTTGTGGTTTGTAACCAGAAAAGAAGCCATGGTTACCCGGCTGGGCTGAGTTCAGGCATTCAAACAAACACCACTTGAGCTAAGTAAAATAAGATTTAGCATTATGTGCTAACCAGGCTATAGACAGGTTGAAAGGAATGCATGGCCATTTTCTTACTGGTTTCTCTGAAAAGCAGGCGGCTAAGAAATAGGAATGTAGTTGTTAAGGGAAGGGTCAGATCCCTGAAAAAACAGGTCCTGTTCCAGCTAATCAGGACCTTCTTTTCCAACACAGAATAGGGAGAGACCAGAGCCTAGTTCTCAATGATGTGATAAACCTGTACAGTGGTGCCTCGCAAGACGAAATTAATCCGTTCCGCGAGTCTCTTCGTCTTGCGGTTTTTTCGTCTTGCGAAGCACAGCTATTAGCGGCTTAGCGCCTATTAACGGCTTTAGCGGCTTTAAGAAAAAGGAAACAAACTCGCAAGAACTCGCAAGACGTTTCGTCTTGCGAAGCAAGCCCATAGGGAAATTCGTCTTGCGGAACGATTAAAAAAACGGAAAACCCTTTCGTCTAGCGAGTTTTTCGTCTTGCAAGGCATTCGTCTTGCGGGGCACCACTGTATCTGGATTGCACAACTTCAGATGACTGCTAGGAGTCATATAATGAAATGCTTCTCCTTAAAAAAGAAAATCCTTGCATACAGAAGTAGCAAGGCAGGGAGAAGGGTTCCAGCTTAGCCTTCTCCCCAATATGCCAGCTTTTTATGGAGTGTTTTTGTATGAAGGATCAACCCATCACGTGAACCACTACCTGTGGCATGAAGTCGTACAGCACAGACAGGTATGCCATTTATGTAAGAACTAGGGCCCAAATTATCACAAAACTGGACCGTCTCCATTTCAGCCTCACTGCCCCCTGCCCCTCCTCCAGTGTACCATACTTAGTTCAGGGTGTTGAACTCACAAAGCTACAGTTCTCAGCATCTTTAAAAAAATAGTTCCCATGATTCTCCATAACCATTAAGGTGGTATAAGAATGCTTTAAATCAAGGGTTCCCCAACTTCTGTCCATGGACCATCAGTGGTACATGAGCTTCATGCAGGTGGTCTGTCATGTATCTGTTGATTTGTGGCTGAAAACAGGAGGGAGATGGTACATCCATCACATTAAATACTGATATTGGGGGTTTTTTAAATTGAATTTGCATTACTTCTTTTATTTTTTTTGGATTTCATTTTATTGTAATCCTTCAAGTAACTGTCTATCTGACCTCCTTGGAGAGTCTTCCCACCTCTAAGTTTGTTCTTGCACACCAGCAATCTGTTACTACTGAACATTTCAGGAGGCATCTTGGATAGCCAGGAGTCCTTGTTACCCTCAGGGCTTTATGTCTGCCACGTCTCAGCCTCTGAATGTGCTTTCCATATAGGGCTAAGTCCTCAAATCCATGAAGTTATAACAAAGAGACATGCCTCTAACTATGTACAGTGCACATGCCTTTCCTTACTATTGAGTGACCACAGGTAGATTCCACATATACAGGATTAAGGTACAAAGCAGACATGATGGCTCCTAAATAGACCTCAGCCTCACCCCACCCCAAGCCTTTATTTTTTTCTTAATTAAGAACTAGTCATTTGGATTCCCCCTTATTTAAATGAGCAATATGAAGGCCATTCAGTGCCATTCTATAATAATAAGAGGCTGCTGGGTCCATCACCCAATCACCCATCTAGCTCAACATCCTGTTTTCACAGTAGTCCACCAGATGCCCACGGGAAGCCCACAAGTAGAACCCGAGGCCAACAGCACTCTCCTCCCCCACTTCTGATGGCCAGCAGCCGGTATTCAGAGGCTTCCTGCCTCCAACTCGGGAGGCAAAACATCCCTTCTTCAACCACAAATCTGCAGTCACTCTTTTAACCACCTAAATGAAGCTTATCTCCATGAACCACCATTTAGGACTGCCTGCTAGACAGCAAAGATTAAATCTCCCCACAGTAGCCTTTGCCACCCCTGTGCTCCTCCAAATTAGTTCTTCTCTAAATGCTATTATGGCTTCACATTCATGGCTGGCTTGGAAGCTGGATGGGCACCACTGGAAACAGAATGGATCTTGGCCATTCTCAACTCGAGTGTCTTCTTTGCACGCAGGTCCCAGGCTTGATCCCCAATAGCATGTCCTGGCAGGGCTGGGGAGAGCCCTGTGTGAGATCCTGGATAGCCCCTGCCTGTCCACATGAGCCAGAGGGACCAAGGGTCAGATTCAGTAGAAGGCAGCTCCTTGTGTTCCTCAGTCCTTCAGGGAGGAGCTTGAACAAGTGGCAGAACTGGTTCACAGCCAAAATATAAAGCAGCCAGTTGCCCACACAGCTCCCAGTCTTATAAGAATACAGACGGCTATACCTGGGCAGCGCATACACTTTGCTGCTCGAAACACGTAGCACTTGTGCAACAGCAGACATCCTGCATTAGTTAACCCTGTCAAGTGCAAGCAGGCACACTAATGAAGAATTTGCCTTATGCCAAGTGATGAGTCAGCTCATCTCGGAGCACGGAATACACGTTGCCTTCCGTCATCCCCCCCCCCATAAACTGGTTGAGCTGGAAATAAAAACTACTGTATTCAGCAAATGCTGAAATGCGTAAGATTCTTTGTGGTCAACAGGCAAAGCACAGAGGGAACTGCTTTGTCAGACAGCCTGGTGTGGTCAAATAAACTTTGTGGGTAGTGATGCCACAGTTCAAGAAACTGGCAGTGCCCAGGAAGGAAGGAAGCAAACTGTTAAGCTTTGTAATGCATATTTTCGTGAGGTGCAGAGGAATGACAGTGGGAGGGGAAGAAGAGAGGAGAGAGAGACATGGCAATTTTTGTAGCACTTAGGAGAAAGTCAGGAATTAAGAGCAGGAGTTTGATCACTTTGTACATCCAAATAAGTATGTCCATCCTTATTACAAAACTGGATTAAATACCGTTAACATTACACTAAATATACAAAAGCACATTATTTTGCTCTGGTTTGCTTTGAAGCTAACATCATCTCTACAAAAAAAATTCCTTCCAGTAGCACCTTAAAGACCAACTAAGTTAGTTCTTGGTATGAGCTTTCGTGTGCATGCACACTTCTTCAGATACACTGAAACAGAAGTTGCCAGATCCTTCTATATAGTGAGAAGGTGGGGAGGGGTATTACTCAGAGGGAGAGAAGGTGGGGAGGGGTATTACTCAGTAATGGTGGTAATGTAATGCTGGTATTGTCATACCATGAAATTACATTACCTTCTAATTGTTTATCACATGTTTTAACATAAATTGCACAATTAAGTCCACTTGCCAGCCCATGCCTCCTCCCGATCTCTGTAATATTGATAAAAATCCTGACCACAGAAAAAGGGAGAAAGGGGAAGAAAATAGAAGGGGCAACAGCAGCTTTGCTACTGAGCTATAGCCCGTCCCTGGCTGCAACTAGAAGAGATTGATTAAATCATGTTAAGGAGTAACTGATCTATGTTTAGTGGTTTATAAGGGGGGGACACTCTAAAATTGCACTGTTCTCCCCTGCCCCAGCAAGCTTGCTAGGTGCATACTTTTGGCTGGTCCCTGGCAAGGACTGGGAGAACGCCCCCAATACCTGGAATTCAGAAGGAGAACCCAAAATGTATGCATCATATTTTTGAGAAATCAGGATCTCCTTCTTTGGACTGGGGGTGATTAGTACTACAGTGGTACCTCGGGTTACATACGCTTCAGGTTACAGACTCCGCTAATCCAGAAATAGTACTTCAGGTTAAGAACTTTGCTTCAAGATGAGAACAGAAATCGTGCTCCGGCGGCACAGCGGCAGCAGGAGGCCCCATAAACCAAAGTGGTGCTTCAGGTTAAGAACAGTTTCAGGTTAAGTACAGACCTCCGGAACGAATTAAGTACTTAACCCAAGGTACCACTGTACCATGTTCAGATGAATCATCCATTCCAGTCAGTCTTATAAGTGCCTCCACTACCTGTATTAATCAGGCAGATTTAAAGAAAGAATACTTTTTTAAAATATGCAAATATTTACAAAAATCAAGGGTAGCAGGCATCATTTCAGAAGAGGCTTCTCTCCCACACAGGAAGGAACGGCTCTTCCAGATTCATAGATGCATTATCTAAAAACAAAGAAAGGCTGGCACTTTCTTCCAAAGATTTGTTTTACCTGTTTTTTGCATGCAAATTTAAATCAATTAAAACTACTGTGATAAAACAACGCCAATTCTTTAAAATGCACTGTGTTTGGTGTTCTTGCTGCAGAAGAGTCCCGTGGCACCTTCAAGACTTAACAGATCCACGCCACAGGAACTGGGAGCCTTTCCCTGTTGTTGTTGCTGCAGCCGCCGTGTGGGTCTCCCCCCCTCCCAAGCCCTGCCTGAAAAGCCAGACACAAAGCAGCCCCTTCTCCCGCTTTCCCTGCCCGGACATGTCTCCAAAACAAAGGCGAGGGGATCCCACCACCCAGCCAGAATGCACGAAGGCTCCGGAGCAGAGTCACAGCAAGGGAGACGCGCGAGTCCTCGCTTCAAAATGAGTGACTACGAATGTGTCAGGAAGCGGGTTCCCTCGGGTCGGCAAAAAGGGACCCCAGGAAGGGCACTGCTACAAAGTACATGGAAAGGGAAAGAAGGGGGTCCTGCGGGAGGAGAGAAGGGAGAGAAGCCAAAGGGGGCGGCGGCGGCGGCGGCGGCAGCATCCCCGAGGGGAAGGGAGCCGGGCCGGGGCCGGGCGCCTCCTCCCCAGTCGAAGCCCCTCGGCTCACCCTGCACCAGCCGCTTCAGCTCTCCGTAGCGCGCCCACAGGAAGGCCGGCCGGTCCGGCCCGGGAGGCGGCGCGCTGCCGGCCAGAGCCTCTTGGTGGGCGCCGGGGGCTGCAGCGGCGCCCGCCGGGCCTGGGGCTGCCGGCTCCCGTACGGAGGCCTGGGCTGGGCGCTGGGCGCCTCCGTCGCGAAGCGGCTGCAGCGGGAAAGCCAAGCGCCCGCCCGGCGCAGCAGCAGCCAGCCAGCGCCGCCGCCAGCCATGGCGCGAGAAGTGAGTGTGCGGGACGCCGCGGCGCCCCGGAGGGCGGGCAGAGAGAGGCGGCTCCGCCCCGGCAGGGAGGGCCTGGCCGGGCGCCCGCTCCCAGCTCCCCCGCCGGCTGGGGGGCAGACGCCGCGCGCCCCTTGGAAGAAGAAGGGGGCCGAGATCCCCCGCCCCAGGACGAGGCAGAAGCGGCCGCTGTGGGGAGATCTCATCGGATCCCGCCCCCCGCTTCTCCGGCAGGATTCCGCCGCCTGCTCAGGCACCACCTCCTGAAGACCTTCCTTAGGATTGCAGTCTTACAGCCCGCAGCCTGTCTCTGTGGGCACCGGGAAATACTTCAAGAGAAGAGAAAGAGCATGTGTATGGCTGCGGGACACTCTCCCAAGGGGCAGCAAACTTTTCCAGCAGGGGGCCGCTCCACTGTCCCTCAGACCTTGTGCGGGGCTGGACTAGATTTTGAAAAATAAATGAGTGAACGAATTCCTATGCCCCACAAATAACCCAGAGATGCATTCTAAATAAAAGCACACTTTCTATTCATGTAAAAACACGCTGATACGTGGGCCGGATTGAGAAGGCGATTGGGCCGGATGCAGCCCCCAGGCCTTAGTTTGCCTACCCATGCACTATACTTTTAAAGCACATTTCAGGAATTCTTGGCACTGTGGTTTACTCCCTCAGAGCTCACAGTTCTTAGCAACCCTTAACAAACTACAGCACCCAGAATTATTTGAGGGAAAGGATGTGCTTTGCATGTGATTTTATGGTATATTGTATGCAGTAGCCCCCTTCACACATCTGTTGCATGAAGGGAAGTCCCACCTAGAACCGGGCTAAAGGCCACCGGCTCTATCTCTGACATCCATAACCTATGCATAGACATCAACCAGGAAAAGCCTACAGGTAAGGACTCCCCCCCCCACATTCAGGAACTATACACTTAATAATAATGCATCATTTTAAACAAAAAAAATTCCATGTGTTCCAGGGCTAGAGAAAGCAGCAATCCCAGTATTGGGAGAAACAAAAGTTGGCAGCTGAAAGATCAGACATAGAAAAAGGAAAGAAACAGAATCCTAGAACAGATAATTAAGCACTTAGAAATGGAGGCTGTGATGGGTTTCTCAAAAGCAAGTCATGCCAGACAAATCTCGTTTCTTTTTTTGGGAAGTTACAAGCTTGATGAATCAGGGGAATGCTGTGGATATTGATTTCAGTAAGGCTTTTGACAAAGTCCCCCATGATATTCTTGCAGAGAAGCTGGTAAAATGGTCTGGATGAGGTAACTCTTAGGCAGATTTGTAGTTGAGCTTCCTGAATTGCAGGGAGTTGGACTAGATGACCCTCTATTTATATAGAAAAATAGAATTGTAATATCCATTGCAGGAAGTCATTTTATCTGCCTACAACTTTATACCAACGACAGCAATGAATTACACATGCTATGAAGTACACATAGTAGAGTTTGGGCACTGTCAGATGGTTCCTATTCTGCTGATGGGATTTAATTGTAATAGCAGCTTTCTCTTTCTTTAGGTTTTTCCCCCTTGTCTTTTTCCCTTTCTGCCTTTCTTCTTTTTTAGACTAGGTAGCTGTTTTATACCAGTATATTATAAAAGAGACAACTTTGTAATGGGTATGTATTATTGTATATCTCTGAGTATCAATAAATTTTAAAAACCAGCAGATGCAAGTCGCACAATTAAATTCACTCCCCACTTCCAATTTGTGTGTGTGTGTGACATCCTCTTCATCCAAGTGGCAGACCACACTCCCCCCCCCATTAAATTTAGATTTTACCAATCAACAGATCATCCAGTAAGGGAGTATCAAATATAAAAATGTATGTTACCTGACTGTGGGTGTACTGAAGTACATTGTTGGCACTTCTTTTCCATATGTCACTAAGCACCATCTCTCACTGTACCCCCTACTTCTGTTTCCATCAACCCAGAGGAAAGAATGCAGCCTGCCTTTTTCCACTAGTTGCTGTTGAAGGCATGTCCATAATATTTTAGTTTTTAATTAGCTCTTTCTGCAGAAGCTCTTGCATAAAACAGCCGTATTAAATATACATATAGGAGTCAGGAAAGAAAAAGCTGAGGAAAGGAAGTATCAGCCTTGCACATGAACAATCCTTGGCTGGAGTGGAGCAGCACACGTTTTATTTTTGACTGTTCTTTTGTGCACAAATCTGGAAAATTGTAAACACTTTTCTTTCAAAGGTTGGTGGAGTTTGGCTGTAGAGTGGTACCTCGGGTTAAGTACTTAATTCGTTCCGGAGGTCTGTACTTAACCTGAAACTGTTCTTAACCTGAAGCACCACTTTAGCTAATGGGGCCTCCTGCTGCTGCTGCCGCGCCGCCGGAGCACGATTTCTGTTCTTATCCTGAAGCAAAGTTCTTAACCTGAAGCACTATTTCTGGGTTAGCAGAGTCTGTAACCTGAAGCGTATGTAACCTGAGGTACCACTGTAGTGGAAAAGTTAGGTGAAAAAGTAGACATTTGGGGGGAGTCAACCTGAAAGGTATAAGCTTGAGGCAACAGTGTAATGCAGCAGCAAGAAAAACAAATGGCTAGAAGTGGCATTAGCTAGCTTTCAGCACCAGGGGAAAGTATTTTTTTCTACCTGACCTTTTGAATGACAGCACTGGCCACAGAGTTGACTGATTGAGGGCAAATATATGCTGAACTTTATATTATAATCAGCTGTCTTGGGATTGTTCTATTGGTGTGTATGTATATTTATGTATATGTATATCTTGGGATAAATATACATTTATGTATACATAAATATACATTTATGTATATGTATATCTTGGGATGGTAGGGACGCGGGTGGCGCTGTGGGTAAAAGCCTCAGCGTCTAGGGCTTGCCGATCGAAAGGTCGGCGGTTCGAATCCCCGCGGCGGGGTGCGCTCCCGTTGCTTGGTCCCAGTGCCTGCCAACCTAGCAGTTCGAAAGCACCCCCGGGTGCAAGTAGATAAATAGGGACCGCTTACTGGCGGGAAGGTAAACGGTGTTTCCGTGTGCGGCTCTGGCTCGCCAGAGCAGCGATGTCACGCTGGCCACATGACCCAGAAGTGTCTCCAGACAGCGCTGGCCCCCGGCCTCTTGAGTGAGATGGGCGCACAACCCCAGAGTCTGTCAAGACTGGCCCGTACGGGCAAGGGTACCTTTACCTATATCTTGGGATAGATTTATGGCAAATTGGGTACTGATGAGGGAGCACTACTACGGTGAATCTCTCCATGCTGGAAACAGAAGTATGATCTGTTGCACACACTAGGTGTCTCACTCCAGTGTACAAAGGAAGAATGCTTCTTCTGCACAGTAACATTTCTAATGACTTGGCTTCTCTTCCTCCCTTTTTGTAGAACACTCCCACAGCCTTAGCCCAGAGGATGAAGGGCTGAGACCCATTTGACACAAAGCACAGCAACAAACCCAGCTTTGCTCCAAGTACCTGAGCAAGAGGTGGGGTTTAGCCAAGCCTCCAAGCTTTTATCTGTTACTAAGAGCACTATACACCTACTTTCCACTTTTGCCAGAAGGGGGCATCAACCATCTACAGATCTTTTATTATTATTATTATTATTAATCATTTTCTTGTTTTACAGATGTGTAATGTCTCTCGTTTTTTTTCCATGTAACATTTTTACAAATCCGTTTCATTTGTTGAGCCATTAGGGGGAGAAAAAAAGGGGGGATGGGTGGGGGTCAGGTGGCGATGCTTCTATTATGCTTAATGTATGTAGGGTTTGGTGTGAGCGTTGCTTGTGCTGTTCACTTGTGTTCCTTTGGTGGTGAGAGAGGTTGGGGTTGGCCTAGGGTGTGGTTGTTTGATTGTGATAGACTGTGGTGATCTTTGTTTTTGTGTGTGAGTGGGGTTGGTGGGTGTTTTGGATCAGGTTAGCCATATTGATTTGTATGCTGTTGGTGGGTTATTGTCAGTCTTGTTGGGCTGTGTATATGATAAAGGGAAGCCATACCGGGGTAAAGGCGTCTTCTTCTGTTTGTCCCTGTGTCAATTTCAGTTTATTGGTTAATTTTTCTAGTAGGGCTGTTTCCCATACTATTTGGTACCATTGGTCCATGCTTACTTCTGACAGGTCTCTCCAGTGTCTGGTTATGGTGTTTCTGGCTGCTGAAAGTAGGTGGGTTACAAGTTCTTTGTGGTGTAAATGGGCATTGTTGTCTTGGAAGATGTTTAGTAGGGCCAATTCTGGGGTGATGTCTAATATTTGCTTAGTTATTTTACATATTTCTCGTGTGGCTGTTGTCCAGAATAGTTGGATTTTGGGGCACTCCCACCACATGTGGAGGTATGTGCCTGTGGAGGTGCACCCTCTCCAGAATTTTGGTGAGGTTCCTGGGCGTATTAGCGCTAGTTTTCTTGTGTTAGGTACCACCTGTAGGTGGCTTTCAGAGTGAGTTCTTTTCTTTTCGTTGATATCTGACCTCTTGACACTGCTTCCTCGTCTTCAAGCTGTGGTCCATTTGCTTTTTGTTTAAATGCAAGAGGCCCACACACACCACACACCCTGTGCCTGGCACAATCTGCTTGAAACACAAAGTAGTTTTTGAAAGCTGTGCAAGCAAGCCAGATGGGCTAGTCTTCTTGGCTGAAGTCATGGACAGTTTTCCCTGCACAGAGAAAGCCATCTCCACCCAGCCATGATGCCTTCACAATAAGATTCTTAAAAATATCCTGAGTGAGAAGGACCATAGAAAAAGAAGTTGCATTACTTTGTAGCATGGTGGCAACAAAAGCTTGGATAAAGGAATTAAGGACAGGGTCTGCCCCAATAGGTCTAGCAATGTTTGTCATCCTTC